CTATTAAAGAAAAACACAAATACTTTAGGAAGATAACTAATAACAAGCCATAGACCACCAAGCTCTTTGCTCTAATTACTTTTAATCCCTATTTCTTGTCAAAGAAAAGGGGGAGAACTTCTGTCAGTATAATTCAGAAATCCTACCATCACACAAAAATTCCCTTCATAACTAAGTTGCAGATAGAAATCCACTTTTAAAAAAATTGCTGTGGCCAGTTTGTTAGCACTATCTACAAATACAGTTGTTTAAACACAACAGATTACCAGTACTCAGCAGGTTCACTAATCACAACTCAGCTTGAAAATTACTGGTGTTATTAAATTTCCACCCCATTACCTTGACTTTTATTTGGAAACGCTCATCGATGAGTTCCTCCTTCATTAGAGTCACAAGTTAACTGAGCCATAACCTCGCAGAAACACAATACATTTGATGATGTCTTGAAAATGTAAATACTTAGTTCAACTTTGTCACTTCACAAAGTCACTGAAGCATTACGGTAATCTACTTAAGACGATTCTCAAGCCTTTGATTCAAAAACCATTAGTTATAGAGGTTTCAAATTGTGCTCAAAAAAACAAAAAACAAACAAATAAAAAAAAAAAAACAACTAAACCCCCAACTCCTCAAGTAATGGGTTTCCAGTAATTGGTCTTAACCAGTCCTCTGACAAGCGTGGTACTCCCTCTGCCTTTTTGATTGTCCCCAAACACGCTTCTGTTTCAGGAGCACTAATCTCCTGCCTTTATGAAAGTCTCGTCTTGCTGCCTTCTCCAACGATGTTCTTGCTCAAAGCAGCCACTTACCAGCTGTCCACAGCAGGTGTTCAGGGGTTGGCTCAAAGAGAGAGGTGTCTTATAAGATAAACCGAGATCCTAACTAACATTAACAAATGAACAAAAGTCAACTGACAAATACTTGTTGACTGTTTGTCCATTGAACTAAATACCCACTAAAGAGAACTGGAACGAGAAGACAGAGTCCTCCAAAACTTCATACTCTGATTGTCTATATGGATGTCCATAATACACAACACTCCTAACAGAGAGTGGACTGCTAGTGCTCAGCAAGGGTCACGGGAAGGACCTCTGTCCGATTCTGGACAAGTCACTCTGGACAAGGGGATGAGGTGGTGAGGCCAGCCTCTCAAAGGACAGGGGGTGGCAGAGTGGAGAGGTGAGGTGGAGGGGGAACAAAGGGATAGAGGGCTGGGGGGATCATTTGCATTTGAGAGCAAAATGAAGTGAACCTGCAACAGATATAAACCTATGTTTTTGTGCATGGGGTCATTCCAAATATGACTAAGTGTGATTTAAGCCCATTCTGACACTGTTCATTTGAAGAGATGAAGCATACTGGGGTCACCCATGGCTGATTCTGTTTGGCTCCCTTAAGAATCACAGGAAATATATAGCCATGGCTGGCCCTAGCGGCATTTCCACCTGCCCTAAGATTGGTCCTCCAGGTTAACCCCTTCCTATAAGCTGTCCCATCCAAATCAATTCCAAATTATCATTGCTTGCCACGGCTGGGGGGAGGTCATACTGACTGATTTCATCGCTGGCCCTGACCCTTCTCAGATGAATAGATCTGGGAGGCCCATAAATCCTTCCACTTGAAAAATGCAGTCAAGCTTTCTGTACCCTGGTTCCAGATAAGTGAGGTCCATGTGGTGTCAGTAAGTCATAAAATCCATAAACTACCGTAGACATACTGTTGCTCTTTCTGATGTGTGGCTTTTGGTGTTCCACACTCAGGACATCTGTGATAATTTAGTGAACGTGTAACTACACCCTGAGGTGAAGAAAAAGTGGGAATGGAATGCCGGAGGGGAAACTCGGCTGCCTGAGGGGCACACGTGCTGCTCTGTCTGAGCAGCTCCCCGCCCCCGTCAACAGTTGAGGGGAGAGCGCGGCTCACTGTCTGCTTGCCCAGCTCTTGCTCACTCCGCACACTCCTGCTCTCTCCCCTCAAGCTAAGCTCTGGAAGGACTTTGAATTTTGAAAGATGTACAAAGGACTAAAAGGGATTGGAATTGATCGGTCCAACGGCAGTGCCCTGAGAAAGACTCGGCTTAGAGTCCCCAGGTGCTGTCCTAATGCGTTTTCCTTCCCAGAGGTGTGAGTGGTGACATCTTCATCGATAATGGAAGCCAGCGATTTTCAACCTTTTTCATCTCTCGGCACACATCGACTAATCACTAAAATTCTGTGACACACCAAAACTACTTGCCAATCTGACAAGAGAAAATAAAAAAAGGCATAATGTTGAGTCATTCACACCGGCCAGCTATCATTGTGTGGGCTGTTGTCATTTTGTTATTTGACAATAGGAAAGAAAAGAGGCCAGTGCCCCTGACTAAATGGGTGCTATATGTTTTAAAAATTCTTGCCGCACACCCATTGAAAATTGCTGCTGTAAGCTGTTCCACGGTTTTTTCAGTTGCTATTCTTTTACAAAAGAATTTAGCTCGAGGTGATTTTTTTGTGGCTTGCAACCGAAAGGGATCACATTATACACTTTCCTTCCTCTGTTACAACCTCCAGCCGCAGTGCTAGGGATGGAAAGGTTCAAACGCAGAGGCGACATCACGGATGGCTCCCGGTGCCGCTTTCAGTGCAGCTGGTTCCAGGGACAGCGACAGTGAACGAGGAGGCCAGGGTGAGAGAACAAAGAAGGCGGCAGCCTGCCCCCCAAGGGACTACCCCTCATACCACGCGTTCTAACAGTGGCTGCTGAAACAGGTCCCCGCAGCATCACTGCGAATGAATCTGGCTACACAGCATCTGCTGATAAACAGCTGGGATTTCCAATTTCACTCACCAAGAAAAAACCTGGCCCCCAAAAGATGAGTGTGTCAGGCTTCTGAGCTGGAAAATAAATAGGGAGGGGGGTGTATCCTTGTTGTTATTTTCTGAGTTAGGTCACCAAGAAGCAAAAGCTCCCTGACCCCTGCACTGGAGTTCTGTGCCTGCTGTCCCCTTTCCACCAACTGATCCCTCAGGGACAAATCTAGAAGGGCTCTACCTATAGGCCATGGATTCTGCACTTGAGGTCAGAGGCATGAGAGCACCTGAGATTAAAGGTCCATTGAAGGATCTGAGATGTTATAAAAAGAAAATTTATAATCCACTTTATTTTAACAACAGAAAATGCCTGGCATGTTTTAGAACAAAACCCCTGAAAGGAAGGGTTACCAATAACGTGAAATGCAGTACAGAGACAAGGAATCTTGAGAAAGGTCCATTGGATCTGATAGGAGAAAAGCTTCAGTAGAATGATGGGGACAGAGCACATTCACATGAGGAAGAGGGGACTGGGAGGATAGAAAATAGAGGTTTGGCAAAGAAAAGAAGAGGAGAGGTAGAAAAGTAGTTGAAAGAATCAAGCAAAAATTCTTTTTAGTTTTTGGGGTTTTTTTTTAATGTGCCCCAGACACGAACCAGCTCTGGCCACCAACACAGGTAACAAGCTAGCATGTACTAAGGACTGTACAACTGCTTTGCCTCTGACTGATATAAGAGCAACGCCACTAGTCAGGTGTGTCCTCGCCCTTGCCAGGAGGTGAAGTCTTTTTGTTTTTAAGCTAAGGCCCTGCACTTGGGGTTATGCTCTGCTGTCACTGTGTTGAAATTCTTTATATTTTTGGAACCAGGACCCTGTATTTTCATTTTTCACTGAGCCCCATGAATTATGGAAGTGTTCTGAAGTGCACTGTGTAGGCTGATTGATGCTCCTTCAAAGAAGTGCACACCCTCATCCCAGAACCAGTGCCTATGTTACTTCATGTGGCACAAAGGACTTTGCAGATGTGACTGAATCAAGGATTTTGAGGTGGGGAGGTTATCCTGGATTATCTGGGTGGACACCATGCAATCACAGGGTCTTTATGAGAGGGAGGCAGTTGAGTTCGGCTCCGAAAGAGGAAGCGTGTGACAGCGGAGAGGGAGCGCAGAGGTGAAAGTGTGGTGCTGGTCCTGAGCTAAGTAAGTAGGTGGCGTCGCAAGCTGGACGTTGAGGAAATAGGCTGCCCCCTAAAGCATCTGGAAGGAAGGCAACCCTGCTGATCCAATTTGGATTTCTGACCTCCAGAAATATGATAATAAATTTGTCTTAAACCACTAAATTTGTGGTAATTTGTTATAGAAGCGATGGGTACCTAATACACATTAAAGGTGCTGCATTTCTAGTTTTCTAGAGGTCAAGGCCATTAATAAAACTAATAGCACCTATCATTGATAGAACACTTTTGTAATCTCATGTCATCCTGGAACACATTTTGAGGCAGGCATCATCGTATTCACATAAAGATGGGGAAACTGAAGCATCCAGAGGTTTTAGTAACTTGTCTAGACTCACATAATAAGATAGAATGTTTACAGGTGGGAGCTGAACACTGTCTATATCACAAGTTTTTCTGTGCGTTTATCCCCAGTCCCATATTACATTCTGAACTTTTGGGTTTGTTCACGCTCGCCGACGTGCCCTCCTGTTAGGAATGGGAGTGGGACCGGCAGAGCATGACAGCACGTCTGCGCCGTATCAAATGAAAAAGGGGCCGAAGCCACGGGGGCTCCCGCGGCCCCCGCAGCAGATGAGGCCACAGGAGAGCGACAGAGAAAGCGCCTCAGGTTCCGAGTCGAAGATGCTAATGTGCGTGGGTACTGGCAGAACTCAGGCGCGTGGCAGTGCGGGGTAAGGGGCGACGACACAGGAGGCCTGGCCGTGTTTCCAAGACAACCGCGGGGGGAGGGGTGTCCCTCCTAAAAACCCTCGCCTGCACCTCCAGTGTTTTGGGGCTCACGTGGTCCCGCCTCATTGGCCGCCGAGGAGCCAGCCCGAGGGAGGCGGAGCGACCCCACAGTGGCACGTCCGGGTTCGTTCCGCCGCGGCCCCGCCTTGTGCGCGGACCACAATTCCCACAAGGCCCCGCGTTCGGGGAGGGGCCGGGGCGCGAGGCGGGGCGGGGCCTGGCGAGGGGCGGGGCCGCTGGGGATGTGGTGGGGGCGCTGGGCTCTCCGCCTCACTGGCAGCTGCGGGGCTCCTGGACCTCTGACCCTGGACTCTCGGCGCCGCCGGCAGCAGCCCCCGCGGGTCGTCGCCCGGGCCGCTCACGGTTCTCCGGCCCTTCGGGGCCCTGCCGGCCGCGGTGCAGGGAGCGGGCAGCATGAGCCTGGGGGCCCGGCGGGCCGGCTCGGGGCGGGGGGCGGCCGCGGTGCGGCTGCTGGTCACCCTGAGCCTCCTCCCGGGCGTCGTCGAGGCCCAGGTGAGCCGGCGATGGCGGGGAGGCCGGGCGGCCTGAGGGCAGCGGGCGACCTGACAGGAGTCCAGGAAGCGCCAGCGAGCCGCCGCTGCGCGGGGCGGCGACACTCGGGGTGACGGCAGGGAAAGGGGAAGAGGGTGCGGGCCCGGGGGTGTGCGTTCGGAGCACTGTTGTGGAGCCGCTGGAGCGCGGCGGGAGGCACGGGAGCGAAAACATCCCCGCTGAAACGCCCCCCTCGCCCTTGGGGAGCTGCGGGGACTAGCAGGCAGACCCCTGGCCTGCGGGAGCCGAGCGGACCGGGAGGAGACGGGACTTCCCTTCCTGGACTAGAGGGTCTCCTGGCTGTCACCCCCGCGCAGGACCGCTGTATCTCACCAACTTGTGCGGTCTGCCTGGCGGCGCCCAGGTGCCCCCACGTGCGAGCCCGGGTCTGGGTCGGTTTGTGGGCTCAGCGGGGCGGCGAGGGCCGGAGAGCGGAGTTCGGGGCTTGCTTTGCGAAGCTTATATTACACAGGTGTTCTCAATATGCTGGAAGTCGGAGGGTTAGCGACCAGATCTTTGCCCTTAGGAGGCGTGTTTGCTTTGGGTTCCACGGTCGAGTTGGGATAGACCGCTGCCAGGTGCTGCTGTTTGCACCTGCGGCGAAGTGGCAGCACTGCTGAGAGAGGAACAGGGTCTCAGGTGGCCCTGAACCAGGGGAAGTGTGATTTGAAGCAATTAAAGCTCATTGGGAAGAAAAATTTCAGATAACTATGTAACCGTGTAAACATGTTCTTCTAACTTTATTCAGACACTTTTTTCATAGCCTTTGATGCTCTGCACTAAATCCCAGAATGCGTGAAATCTGCTTGTGTCCATGTTTGAATATTTTTTAGTGAATGATTTGATAAAAATAAAAGGGAGGAACTTTTGGTTTGGAGGAGCATGTTAAAAACGCAGATTTTCTGGCCCCACTGCCGGATGTCTTGATTTGGTGGCCCTGGACGTGACCCCAGGAGGCAGCATTGTAACGAGCCTTGCAGGCAGAGGTAGCACAGTGGTCCTTCGAACTGCCTTTTCAGCCCCTCTGGGAAAGTACTGAAATATAAATAGTGGGAATCTGGGCATACTCACTAGACTTATGAAAAGCAAACTTTGGCAAAATTACTTTCTAGTTACTGGTTGGACATTTGTTTTTGAATGGTATTTACATTCACATTTTTTAACATGAGATTTTCTCCTTTTCTAACTCTTTTTGGTTTCTCCACCTACCACTAATTATGTGCGCTAATGCCTCATAATTGCATCTGCCCTTTCGTTTTTATTATATACAAGTAAACATATGTAATTTTCATTTCATTCACCTAATGAAATTAAAGATGTGTGCATATTCAGTGTAGCATTGTGCCAAACAGTCCTCAAACATGAGTGTTAGGTTTTTGTTTCTGGTGGTACTTTCTAAGATAGCATTTGATCATATTTTAGATAGTACTTTTAATTTGTAACAAGTTTTAACATACATTCTCTCATTTTATTTGATATGTCTCAGAAACGGGGCTCTAGAGATGACCGAAGTTCAAAGAGCTCACATGACAAAATATCACAGTTGTTAAGTCAGTGAACAAGATGAAGTGGAGCCCCAGGGGGCCCCTTTGTGATCTGCACAGTACATCCCAGTGCACTTGCTGCTTTGGTATAGAGATGACGCACCGGAAACCCAGGAAAATGAAAAAGGGGAACCAAGACAGCTCTTCTACGCTTCTTCCATATGCTAGCTTGGAAGCAAAACAGTAAACCACAAAGGAAAGAGTAGTTTTGGGGGGGTTTTTTTGGAAAATACTTTTATTCACAAGAAATCACTGAGATGAATATATAGAATATATCTCCTTGCAATGATATATTTTCGAGCACACAGAGTAATAGGGATTTGTATATCTCAACCCCATTTTCCTGTAAATGAAATGCAAATGTGTTTTGTAGTGTGACAAAGCACTAGGAAGTGAAGACAGTGCGTACAGGTGATACAACAAGTAGAAGTAGTTTCAGTCAGATATACTTTAAAATCTTTCTACATGCATTTCTGAGGTGGCATGAAATCCAGAAATACACAGAGCCCCACCCCCACCCCAGCCCCGGAAGGAAAGCCATATATAACCTTGGGACTCAAACAGTGTCGTTCTAGTCCATTACCCTGGGGATTTTCCCTCACCCCAAAGACCTCAAGCTTCTGTGCCACAGGTGCTTGGTGTGGAATGGACAAGACATAAAGCCATGTCTGTTTTGGGAGAGGAAACGAAAAGGAGACCTCACCCTGAAGCTTGGGCTCCAAAGAGCTACCCCCCTCAATAGAAGGGTGACTGAGAAACGAATCCCACTGGGGGTAAGGGGAAAGAAAAGGAACTTGCTTGGGGAGGGGGAAAACTCCCTTGAGAATTTGTAACCAGGAGCCACTCACACAGGTTTGCAGGCCAAATCCATGCCACCTGCGCTGGGAAATGTTCAAGTAGAAAACTTAATTTATAGCAGTCTCAGGTTGCTATGCTCCCAGCTGACTGATAGAAGCAAATATCCATCCTCTCGGAAGGAGTTTATTTTCAGCCTAGGCCCCAAAGAATGATCGAAGGTAACGGGAAGAATAGCAGCTGACAGTCAAAAATCACAAAACACACAGGCACCATGAATGAGGTATTAGAAATAGAGACTATAAAAGTAGACCCATAATGACCTAGGTTCTGAAAATATAAGGTACAATTTTAAATTGTTCAATGTGTGTAAATAAAAAGATTTGAAAATATGAAAAGGGAACAAGAGACCAAATTAAAGAATTACCAAAGAGATGACAACAATGAAATCGTTCTAGAAGTGCAATGAAAAACTCAATGGATGGATCATAGAGCTGAGTATATCCAGCAGAAGACAGGATTATTGCAATAAACACTATTTGATGTCTGTTCCTTCTACTTAACCCTGCAACACCTCTTCATCCTTACTCTTAGCTTCATATGTCACTAACAAAATTGGAGTGATAGAGTAACCCACATCTGTGCATCTGCTAGTCTCTGTGCCCACCTATTTTGACTTCTCTCGATTACCATAGGTAACAGTTCATACTCACAGGCCAATCCCCCTTTCCCATTTCAGGGACCTGGCTTGAACAGATCTGCCCTTTTGCTCCTGGATCATCAATTTTTCCTTCTCTAATGGACTATTATTGTCATTATAAAACATGCTGTTAATTCTAGTATTTTAAAGCTCTCTCTTGACCCACCCATCTCTTCTGACTAGTCCATTTTTCTGTTCCCCTCTCTAGAAAAAACTCCAAAGACCTGCCATTGTTACTCCTATTTTGGCCGTATCTTCAGCCCATTCCTGTCAGGCTATTGTCCCTACCCCTCCCCAGAGTGGCTCTTGTCAAGATCACATGGATGTCTTCCTGAAGCCGATAGTTTTTACACCAGTTTGCTTCATGTATCAGCAGCAGATTTTTCACAGCTCACCTCTCACTGGCCCTCAAACACTTTGTTCTTTTGGCTTCGGGATACTAGTACGATTTTCTTCCCATCTTGTAGTCCAGTCTTTCTCATTTTCTTTTGCTTGCGCCTCCCCTGCCTCTAACCACTAACCATTTGAACCTTGTGTGCCCTTTCCTCTCTCTGTACTCTTTCCTCTCTCTATCCTGGTTGTCTCATTTAGTCTCTCAGCTTTAAATACCGCCTACATAGTTGACTCTCAGAACCTCCAGATTAGGAGTCTCAGCTCTAGATCTGAATCTCCAAATACCTTTCAATATTTCCACTTGGGTGATTACCAAGTATCTCAAACTTGATGTACCAGGAGCCAAATTCCTGATCTTTCCCCCTGTCTTCTCCCCACTAAACATGCTGCTGTTCCTCAAACAAGGAAGTGTGCTGTTGTCGAGACCTAGATGCGTAGCACACTTTCCTCATGTATTCATGTGGTTCAGTGGCTCACTTAGGATTCTGCTAAAGTGTCACCTTATCACACTTGCCCACTTACCCGAACAGCTCCCTCCCTTGATCGTAGAAAATAAAAGAGAAACCCTCCACGTCACCTTGTACTTCATGTTTAAACTCTCTAGTAGCTTCCTATCTCACTCAGTGTTGTATCATATGATAATATACTAGGTCCTTGTCACCTCTTCCTGGCCACAGGGCTCCTAAAACCCTTGGAATTTCCTGAGTAATAGGAGTGCCTTTTGTTATTCATAACAAGAGCCTTTTAATCAGTTAATGTTAATGCAGAGACTTAGGTGGAGAACCCCTGGGTAGCCTCCAGGTGGGACGGGTCACTGGAAAGGACAAGTGATGAGAGGATGGGACTTTCAGCCCTGCCCACTGACCTCTAGGATGGGGAGAGAGCGCTGGAGGTGGAGCTCTGTAAAAGCTCTTAAAAACACGAGTTTAAACGAAATTTGTTTTTAATTCAGAGGAATGACATGAAGAGACTCCTGTTTCAGGACAATAATTTCTTTTTTTAAGATTTTATTTATTTAGAGGAGAAGAGAGGGAGAAAGAGAAACATCAATGTGCAAGAGATACATCGATCAGTTGCCTCTTACATGCCCCCAACTGGGGATCAGGCATGTGCCCTGACTGGGAATCGAACAGGCGACCTTTTGGTTCACAGGACTGTGCTCAGTCTACTGAGCCACACCAGCCAGGGCAAACGCACAAGTTTTGATGATCTTCCAGTTTGGTAAATACAGAGACTTGGTGGGAGGTGGCTCAGAGACATGGAAGCTCTGCCTTGCACCTCCCAGTACCTAGCCCTGTGCATCTCTTCCCTTTGGCTGCTCCTGAGATGTATTCTTTACAATAAACCAGTAAACATTAGTAAAGTGTTTTCCTGAGCTCTGTAGGCCTTTCTAGTAAATTATCAAACCTAAGAAGGGAGTCACGGGAAACTTGTGTTTATAGCCCTCAAGTGCAGGTGGCCTGGGGTTTGAGACTGGCCTTTGGGTTGGAGGAAGTCCTGTGTGACTGAGCCCTTAGTCTGTAGGCTTCGCTTGAACTCCCAATAGTGTTGTTAGTGGCAAAACAGCACCTAAATGGTACTGGGGATTGGTCCCTGGTACTTGAGTTCCAGCTAAGAAAGAATTCAGAGTCAAGACTCAAATACAAGTTAAAGTTTATTTAGAAGGTCACAGAGGTAGAAGTGAGCCATCTGGGCTGCGTGGGCTCAGGAAACAAATTCAGAGGCAAAAGAAGAGCCCTTGGAGCTTAGGAAAAAGAAGGGCAGAGACCACACCAGGGGAAGGAGGGGGAAAGACACAGACATGAGAGCCGTGCTGAGTCCTCCATCCTGAAGGTTTTTATGCCCCTTCTGAAGGTGGGGACCTTAGGGGAGCTCCCAGGGGAGGATCTCAATGGGATATTCATCAGCTTTGCAGGCCTATTCTTTCTGGGTTGTGGTCTCTACTGATTGGCCCCAGGGCAGTGGGTTGTTAGTCAGTGCGCCTGGTCCTGGTGCCAGCTGTGGCTTTGTCCTTCCTGGTGTTGCTGCTTTGCTGGACCTTGAGCTGAAACACAACCAAGGTCTAAATGTCATCTCTGGTTGGACCAAAACTCTATCTCTGTGGTCAATAGACCTGAGGCTTTGGTTACTGAGGCTATTTGATGCCGGTCAGAATCTTGTTGTCTTGATAGCTTACCGCTTACGGGAGTGGTCCTGCAAGGGCTTATGTGGGAGTCGAATGAGGCTTCTCTCGAGCTCCATTCTTCCTCCTCTAAGGGAGTCTGTCTCCTCTGAGGGGGGCATGACCAGGGACGTGCTAGGGTCAGGGGAGAGTCCAGGCTGTATGACCAGTGATATGAGAGGTCAGGGGGTCTAAACCACATGACTGGAGATGTGCTAGGGGAGGAAAGGTCTCCACAGGGCTGAGGTCCCACCCTACAATTGCCTGCTGCTAGGCATGGCCCTGGTGACCTTCTGTACCTGGCCTGTTGTCCCTACCCTGCTCGTGCCTGACTGCCCACTGCAGCGTCAGAGTTGAATTGGGCACCCAGTTCATGTTGGAGAGTTGGCTGGTGTGAGAAAACACTGGGCTTTGTATAAGCCAAAATCTTACAAGGCTCTCCTGATTGTTTTTTTTACCTACTACATAGTCCTCCTCTTTGTTCCTCAAAAACATCAGGCCAGCCTACTGTCTCAGGGCCTTTACATTTTTATTCCCGTTGTACTTGTCTTTGACGTGAGTATGTGTGAGTTCCATACTCTCCCGTCACAGGTAGGTTTGTGTATCCACCGCCACAGTCCCGGCAGTGAACCACTTCATCACATGGTGCTGCCCTGCCCCTGTCCCTCCTCCAGCTCCACCCCCTACTCCAGTCCCTAAGCTCTGCCACCCAGTAATCTGGGCTCCCTTTCTAGAATTTTGTCATTTCAAAAATATATAAATGAAACCATACAGTATAGGACCTTTTGAGATTAGCACTTTTCACTCGTTGTAATTTCTGAGGATTCACCTAAGCCATGCATGTCGGTGAGTCCTGTTTTAAAATTCAGCTGGAGAATGTTTTATGGAATTTTTGGACACTGAACTTGCCTTGTAAATACCAGTTTTTCTTTCATTAATGTATCCTTTGAGTAGTGAATAAGAGCATGTGTTTTAAAGTACAATGACTTGGGACTAAGTCTCATTCCTACTTTGGAAAAATTATTTTAACCTTGCTAAGCCTTAATTTCTTTATATGTTAAATGGGGTAATATTATTCACTGAGAACAAGAGAGCACATGTAATGCACTTAGCACCGTGCCTGTCACGTAAGTGCTCCACAAGCGGCAGTCTAAAAGAAAGCCAGGGTCATCGCGGCAATGTTATTCGGTCTCTGCCTTCTAGGTTAGTTTTGGAAGAAGTTGCTTTAGCATTCCACCAACCATTTGGATTTAATATATGTTTAGGCAAAGGAAAAAACATTCAATATTTTTCTTTTTGACCCCTAAACAAAAATGTTTAGTTCTTCAGAATGGGTATATCTAATCCTTCTGTCATTTTTTATTGAGTTGACCATAGTAAAAAGTAAGTGATTACTTTGTTATGTATATTAATTAGCAAATACTAGCTAATTTGAATGTCTAAGTTATCTTTTTTTGTGTAATAGTACAGATTTGTTCAGGCTCAAACATCATTTACGTATTTTAAATTATATATATATATATTTACTAGGTCATCGGAGTCCTGGATGATTGCTTGTGTGACATTGATAGCATCGATAACTTCAACACCTTCAAAATCTTCCCCAAAATAAAAAAATTGCAAGAGCGAGACTACTTCCGTTATTACAAGGTATGGTTAATAATTTTTTATTCTGTTGATAACAAAGATTTTTATATAACTGTCTACAGATGTGACTTTTTTACCCTTTTGAAAACACATTTTTGATTCTTTTTAGCACCCTATGTATTGGGTTGGCCAAGAAGTCCATATGTTTTTTTCTATAAAATAAAAGACACGTTTTTCATTTTCACCAATAACTTTATTGATTTGGATATTTTGAGAATGTGGGCTATCACCAGCATGGTATAACGTTGATTGTTCTCAATGTCTCAATTTGATCGCTATCACCTTCAGCTGGTCTGTCTGACTGTGCATCCTCCAGCGAGAAATCTCCAGCATGAAACTTCACAAACCACTTTTGACACATTCCATCAGTCACAATACCTTCTCCATACACTGCACAGATTTTTTTTTTTGCGTTTCAGTTGTGTTTTTACCTTTCTTGAAATAATAAAGCATAATATGCCAAAAATATTGCATATATTCTTCCATTTTTGATATTAAAATGGCTACACAAAAATTCACCAGTTTTGGCAAGTTATTTTTTAAATCCATGGTGATATGACAGCTGTCACAATACAATCTAACCAGATTGTTTCAAATGAAGTTAAAGGCAACTAAGTGCTACTAAAGCCTGCTTATGGAAGTAAACGAACTTTTTGGCCAACCCAGAGTGTCTTCTTATTGTACTAATGTATTAACCCTTAGACTCAAAACCTGTTAGTCTTTTTGGAACGCTTAGAATCTGAACCCTCTTCTTATGTTTGGGTTCCATCTTTCACTTTCAATTGTGAGGCAGACTCCTGCCTCCACAGAAGCTGAAAATGCCAGAGACTGACTTGCCCAGCCGGCCTTGTGACCGAGGCCCTGCCGTTCAGACACACCTGCCCAGGCTCTGAGCTGAGCCGAGCTGAGGGCAGTGCCATGTGCCAGCGCTGCCCCCTGTGTAAGGTGCCACGGCAGAGTAGATGCTCACTGGCGGCTCCCTGGGAGGGCACCGACCAGGCTGAGGGTACAGGCCGAGCACCACCCACAGTAGCTCTGCAGGGGTGGTTCTGAAGTCCGACCGCCGTCTACTCCCTACAGGGTGACCAGTGACAGTGGAAAGGCAGCAGCAATAAGGCGGTATGCATAAGAACAGGAGTTTAAACTTAACAGTAGTCTAAGCGTTCAGTAGTTTAAGGACAGTAGTTTAAAAGCTGCTCTCATGCCTTGCCTGTGCTTTTGTTCTTAAAGTGTTCAATTGGGCTTATACGTTCTTTGATTTCATTGTTAGTGTATTTGAAAAGTTGAGCATGATTTTCTCTTTTATCTTGATTCTATGTGGGCTATTACAGTTCTTTAAATATTTTTGAAGATTAAAAAAATTCAGTACTTTGGTAGTTTTAAGTTGTATAGAAAGATAACAAATTAGAGAATTAAAAATTAGGAAACACAACCTTCTTTTCTCCATCAATACCAACAATATCCAAAAAAGATGACTATTTCTCCTCTATATGCAGTTCTTTAGGAACGCAGATTCCACAGCCATTTCCAAGAGTAATGGATGCCTAAAGAAACTATTGAGTATCTAGTGTTCTGGGCATTTTACATACAAATACGGCAGTTTAGAATAGCTTCTTCTAATTCACACCCTAAAGTCATAAATCTAACTGCATTTGTAGCTCCTTTCTCCAATTCCATTTCTACTAAAGGAAATAGGAGAAAACCGCTACACATGCTTATGGAATTGTCAACACGTGGAATTGCTGCCGTTACAGATCACAGTGGTTGACTATTGCCGATGTCCTCTGGTGCGGTGCAGTGCAGTGCAGTGGAGGACGTGTCCCTTCCGTCACAGGCTAGCCCGTCACAGAACATCCAGACCTCATGTCTGTGCAGTCTGCCGGCGCCCTCGCTCATTCACTCCTCTGTGTTGGGGTTGTACCTTCTCTTTCCGTGTCCCCTCCCCACAGGCCTGGTCGATAGTAGGCACTCACACATTTGACCAAATGAATGAGCATCTCGTTTAACCTGTATACTGAGCACTGTCAGGCCGGTATTAGCTACATTTTACAAATGAAGAAACAATGGTTTAGGTATTTTAGATGTTTCATTAAAAAAAAGGCATGGAGCAGCTCACAAAATTGAAGGTATGCTGAAGCAGCATGTTTCAGAAAAGATAGAAATGAGGGCAAGAGCTAAAGACCATTCTCTTTGTCATGCCACCAGAATTTTGGATCAAATTCACCATTTCCCCACATTTTTACAACACTTTGTATAAGATTCAGATTCCTGGGAGAAAGGATCAAATTAGTCTAGGTAGGGTCATGTGGACCCTTGACCAAAAGAGGGAAAGACACTTTGGTTAACAGTCCTATTTGCATAACTATAAAGGCAGTAATTGTTTCTGAAAGGGAAATTAGAGGATGTTACAGAGGAAGGAAAAATGAAAGTTGGGCAGGCAACAACTATTGTACAACATGGTCCTTGGCGAGCCAACATACAGTTTATCCTTACACGTGACATTTTAAAATGTTCTTACCAACATAATGAAGTTCCTCCCTATGTAACCAGAATGTACTCATAGCCTTTCCCCAAGGAGAAGAACGCAAGACCTGATTAATGTATTTAGCTCCAGGTCTCGGATCTTTGGGTGACATCCACTTCCAGTTCTGTTGACCTATGAATTAAACAAGAAGGAAATTTAACCAGTATACTCTATATCTCATAGTGGCAGAAAAGGAGAGCTAAGAGAAGAGATGAATTTTAAACACATTTATGTAATTATGCCACAAGGAAATATAGGCAGAAGCAACAGTATACTTCTATCAACTGGTCAGTTGGCTGTTGTAACTGGCAGATATAATTCTGTCTTGTACTATCCATTCTGTTCCTTTATTCACCCAATGTTCATTGAATGATTTAGCAGGCCGTATTCTGGGTGCTGTGGATCTAGTACTGAATAAGACAAAGAGTCTGACCTCATGGAGCTTTTATTCTGATAAGGGAGACAGTGAACAATAAAATATAATTCTATGAGGTTATAAGATAAATGCCATGGAGAAAAATAAAGCAAAATAGGAGATAGAGAGTTCTGGGGCTGGGGACCATCCGTAGCCCTATTTAGAAGAGGGTGGTCCAGAAGGAAAGGTGTTCATGCTGTGCAGTTTGAGCCAAGAGCTTCCTGGTGTGAAAGGACAAGCCCTGGCAGCGTCTGGGGAGAACATCCCCGGGGAGGAGACTAGAACTGCAGGCGGGAAGGTGTCAGCGTTTGAGAAAGAAGGCCACGACTGCTGTCACTGGAGGAAGTGAGGGAGACCCAGTGGAAGAGGTAGAGGCGGGCCAGAGGGAGACAAGTGGGGGGCCTTTTTAAACATGTGAGGACGCTGGGGTCTATTGTGCGATGAGGAGCCACTGGAGAGAGCGGCACAAAGCAGACTGACTGTGCCGGTGAGGGGCGGGCAGCGCGGGACGGCGCGTGATGAGGGGGCCGTGGCACCGTCAGGTGAAAGGGCATGGATTCGGGGTCGGGGAGTGGAGTTGGAAGAGGGGAGAAATGATCGACTTAATGTTGTGTGTAAAAGTTAACACCAGCGAGCCTTAGGGATTGAATGTCAGGTGTGAGGTTAGAAGTGAAAGCAAACGTGATGCCTGCACTTTGAGCATATTACAAAAAAAATATGTCTAAGTGGATTTCATTCCAAAGTCCAAGGATGAGGCTTTTAGGGTTTCAACACACATTCCTGGTTTTTAGAAAATTTAATCAATTTAAGAATTATGGGTACTTCCTTAACATGATAATTCCAGTCTTAACATTAGCATTGTTAGCATCTTACTTGGAGCCACTAAAGAAATTCTCACCTGGGTCAAAAGCTAAGAAGGTGCCCACACTCTCCTCATCTGTTGGAGGCATTAGCCCATGTAGCCAAACAAGAAAAAGCAAGTAGAGACAAAAATATTTAAAGAATAATTAAAACTATTTCCACTTATAAATGACAAAAGTATACCTAGAAAAGTCAAAGGAGATAATAAATTTTGAACACAAACAATAAAAATACATAGCAAGCTATAAATTTAATAAACACAACAATCAGTATCTTCATAATTACAAACAGGAACAAGTTAGGAAATATACTAGAAGAGAAATCCCCATTTACATTAGAAATGAATAAAGATAAAATATATAGGAATAAATGTATGAAGAAGTATGCAAAACCTTCAGTAAGAAAGCTCCAAAGCACTCCTGAAAGGCTCAAAGTAGGCTGACCAAACAGACGGTGTCTTTGTAGCATAACGATGTTAATTCTCCCCCAAGTTAATATGTAAATTTAACGTGATGCTATTAAAAATATCAATAGTTTTGTTTGTTTTTCTAGAGCTGGACAAGTTGTCACAGGTTAAGTCCCATGGGAAGCTGATTCTGAGACAGCTGTTAGTGTGTGAAGGGGGGTAATTAGGGACGGCTCTTGGAACCAACAAGTTAGGGAAGGATGAGGGAGGGGGAAGCCACCGTGGGGGGAGAGAGACGTAAAGCTGTGATGCAGCCTCAGCGGATGCCTCCGGGACCCTCCAGAGCTGTCCCCAGCTGAGGGAGGGCCTGGGCCTTTATTTTTATTTTTAGTCCTCACCCAAGGGCACTTTTTCATTGCTTTTTTAGACAGAGAGACAAGCACTGATGCCAGAGAGAAGCATCCCATGGTGGCCTCCCAGATGTGCCCGGGCCAGGGATCGCATACCTCTGGACTGGGGATCAAACCTGCCACCCAGGCGTGTGCCCTGGCTGGGAATTGAACCCGCATCCTTTTGCTTATGGGATGACGCTCCAACCAACTGAGCCACACCAGCCGGGGACTGGGTCTGGGCCTTTCCATCCCCACACAAGTCATTCGGTGAAGGCCGTCAGAGGAAGAGGGGTGCGTGGCCTTGGGCAAAGTGCCTCCCTCCAGTGGAGGCTGGCTGCCTGCAACGTTCCCGAAGGGGGACCTGAGCAGCGTGTTACAGTGCCTTCCACAGTCCTCTCCTGGCACTGTGCGTTCGTTACCTATTGCTGCATTAAAAAGTAGCCTGAAATTTAGCAACTTAAAATAGCAAACCGAGAAGGTGGAGTTGGAAGAAGACCTACAGGGAGCGAGAAAGCAAGCCATCCGGAGAGAGCCTCAGGCGGAGGGTGCAGCAGGAGCGAAGGCCCTGAGGCCCCAGGGTGCCTCCTGTCGTTGCGGAACCACAGGGATGCAGAGAAAAAGGCAGAGAGCAGGGGAGCAGACCGTGCAGGGCCTTCTCGGCCAGTACAGGGACTTGGATTTCGATCTGGCCCAGCTTTCAGAGGTGTCATACGTGGGGTGAGAAAGTGAAGACGGAAGGAAGGTGACAAGATTTTAGCTTGAGGAACCAAGATAGTGACTATTTACTGAGATGGCAGAATTGCTAGAGGGAAGAGAACAGATTTGGACATGTTAGTAAGTCCGAGGTACCTGTGAGTGTCCCGTGGGAGAGCTGAAGGAGGCGAAGGGAGTGAGCCATAGAACAGTCTGGAGGAACGAACAGCCTCTGTGATGGCCCTGGGACAGAAAGGAGCACCGTTGGGGGGCGGGGGGTGCCCAGCAGGAAGCCTCGTGTGGCTGGAGGCACGTGGCCAGAGCCAAGGTGGAGGGGGTGCGTCAGGAGGCCAGGTGACAGGGCCTGGTGAGCTGGCTGCAGCCTTTGGGAAGCCACAGGAGGGTTTGGAGTGGGGATCGAAATCGTCTGACTTAGTTTTAGAGGGACAGTTAGGGCTGCTGGGTGCGAATCTGCTCGGTGAGGGTCGAAGGCAGTGGAAGCAGAGAGGCTTGCACTGGTCTGGGCAAGAAGTGAGCCGCGGCAATGGAGGCAGCGCGAAGCAGACAGTGAACTCTCTGAAGCCTGTGGAAACGGGAGAAAACGAGTTAAAAACCATGGTCTTTGACTTGGGCGATCCATCTGCAAATCCTATTGAACTAGCGCCTTCCCGTTCTGTTTAGAACATGACAGTTTAACGTTTTTCGGTGGTTTAAGATGCCCTGCCAAACCTGTCCCTTGCCTGTCCAACCTCACTCCCTGCCACTCTACCCCTTCCCCACCAAAAGTCAGTGAATTGGCTGTTCTCAGTTCTCAGAAGTGTCCGAGGTCAGTTGCCTTCGCCAAAACATGTTTGTCTCTCCAACGCTTGTCAGTCCTGAAATATTACCTCCTCGGAGGCCTCCAGCCGCTGGCCCCGTCTTTTACCAATCAGAAAAATCTAGATTTGCCTCGCCACAGTTTGTTATTAAAGAAACATAGAAATATATACATTTTGTTCCCTCCAGCAGATGAGTGGTGTTTGAAGGGAAGGGGAGTGCTTTTCTGCCTTTGCCCAGAGCCACCCAGCCCGACGCACCATGGTCCTCGAACACACTTTGTTCAGTGGTGGGGGCGTGAGAGACCTGGAAGACGCGGAGGGCTGGGGTCCAGGAATGCTTTCTGCCCCTGCAGATGAGCTGTGCACTTGGCTTTCTTCTGTTTTTGAAGTGTCAGAGGACTAATAGTATCATTTATTTTAAAAAATTAATATTACATCTGGGTGTCTGGAGAATGGCAAGCAGTCATTTCAATTCTGAACTGTGCAGGTGCTTTGGCACAAGAGGCTGCTCATTCATCACCATGTCCCCGCTGCCCAGCATGGGGACACTGAAGAGAGCACGGAAGAGCCGGGACACATGTGTACTCATGTTAATTCATTCTTTCTCTCAAGGTTAATCTGAAGCGACCGTGTCCTTTCTGGGCGGAAGATGGCCATTGTTCAATAAAAGACTGTCACGTGGAGCCTTGTCCAGAGGTAACACACTTAAAACCGGAGGCCCTGTGCGGGGACGGGATCTGCAGCTGGCTGGCCCTTATTCGTGCCTCCTGAATCTGCATCGTCTTTTGTGGGCACAACAAAAACAAACAAATAAAACCCGCCACTGAACCTTAAATCTAAAATTTAGAGTGGGAATTAAAGTGCAGAAGGCGGGGAAATTTCAGGCTTGGAATTAGGTCTCCAATTGGCCTTTTTACAATGGGAAAAAAAAAGGCTACACTGATTAGTAATGGAATGCTACATTTTAGATTTTGTTTTTTGACATCTAGCATAGTTATATTCTTTTTCATCAGTAATTAGTTATTAGCTATATTTTCATATTACTTTTTGCTTTTCTTACCTTACCAGTTAACCTAGTTTGTTGTCCTTAAAAATATGGAAAAACCATCTGAACAAATGTCCTTCCTAATGGGGAAATTTCAAAAATATGTTTTTTTTTCATTTCCCTTTAAGAATATAGTATGTCTTTTAAGTTTTTAGTTGGAAATAATTTCAGACCTAGAGAAAATTGGCAAGAATGATACAAATGATTTCCATATACTTTTTATCCAGATTCCCTAAATGTTTATCACATTTGCTTGATTATTTTCTCTATATGTATATATTTATTAATATTACTATATTCCAAACCACTTAGGTGTAAGTAAACAACAGGATCCTTTACCCCTAAATATTTCAGTGTATATGTTCTTAAAAACAAGATTATTCTCTTACCTAACCACAGCATAATTAACAAAATCAGGAAGTTAGTGTTAATATAATATTGATTTCTAGTCTATAGACCTGAATCATATATCGCAAACTGACTTAATAATGTGCTTTATAGGGGAAAAAAAATCCCTAACCCTAGAGCACATGGAGCATTTGGATGCCATGTCTCTTCGTCCTCCTTTAATCTGGAAAAGTCCTGCAGGAGTTCTTCGTCTTTTGATGTCTTAACTTTTTCCTTCCTCCCTCCTTTGCTCCCTCCTTCCCTCCCTTCCAGTACACCCGTTGTTTTGTAAAACACCCCTTATTTTGGGCTTTTCTAGTATTTTCTAGTTATTGGATTCTGGCCACGCACTTTGGGTGGATATACCATAGAAGTGATGATGTGATCTCAGTGTGTCATGTTAGAAGTCATATGATGTCACCCTCATTGCTGGGTGAAGGTGCTTGCCAGGTTTCTTCATTGCAAAGTAGGAAAAAATCTTTGAGACTATGAAAATTTCCTATTTTCCCTCATACATTTACCATTATTGTTTTAGCCTTCATTGATGATTCCTGCCTGAAATAATTACATATGTAGTGTTTGCCAAATAGTGATTTTCTGATTCCATTTCTTCTATACTTGTTAGTTGGTGTTCTACAGTGAGCAAGAAATTTTTCTGGTCTTTCATTCATTTATTTATTTATATGCTTATGTCAGAATGAAGTTGAATTATTATTTTAATATTTTATTTTTTTAAATAACAGCTTTATTGAGACATAACTCATACCATAAAATTCACTCTTTCTAAAATGTACAATTCCATGGTTTTTAGTATAGCCACAAAATTGTGCAATCATCACCGTTATATATAAACATTTTTCCCCACCCTAAAAAGAAACTCCAGCTTCTTAGCAGTCACTCATCATTTTCCTGCTCCTCTCCCTGCTGGAAAGCACAAAGCCACTTTGTCTCTAAGCTTATTATGGATGTTTCATGTCAATAAAATCATACAATACGTGGCCTTTTGTGGCTGGCTTCTTTTGCTTAGAATAACATTTTCAAGGTTCATCCATGTTGCACCGTGTACCGGAATGTCCTTCCTGCTGCTGAATGATATGCCATCGTATGGGTACACCTCGTCTTGTTTATTCTTCAGTTGATAGGCACTTGGGTTGTTTCCATTTTTTGGTTACTGGGAATAATACTGTTGTCAACATTTAGGTACAAGTTTTTGTGCAAACATATATTTTCAATTCTCTTGAGTGTCCACCTTGGAGTGGAATTGCTGGATCATGTTGTAACTTTAACTGTTTGAGGAACTGCCGAACTGTCTCCAGTGTGGCTGCGCCATTGTACGTTCCCACCAGCAATGTATACTGGTTCCAATTTCTGTATGTCCTCGTCAACCTTGGTTATCATGTCCTTTTTATTTTAGCTGTCCTTGTGAATGGCATCTCATTTTGGTTTGATTTGCATTTCCCGGATGACCAATAATGTTAAGCATTTTTTCAGGTACTCATTGGTCATTTGTATCTCTTCTTTGGAGAAATGTCTCTCTAAACCTTTGCTCATTTTTAAGTTGAGTTACCTTTTTATTGCTGAATTGTAAGAGTTATTGGCTTTGTGTACAGTATGTATTTCTAAATAGTTTTACATTAAAATATTGTCTACAGTGAATTATCCTCTTTAGTCTTAGGTTTATAAGAATAAATGAAAATGTTTATTGGTATATGAATCCTGGACACAAGAAATATAACATTAAATATATTTAAAAATCCCTGCCTGTTCCTTTTCCAATCCCATTCCTTTCCCTTTTTCCCCAGAAATAAAAATGGTCCCTTTTTGTTGGTCGTTTTAAGCAATATGACAATATTTGCATTTCTCTGTCTTTGGGGGAGAATTTACTAGGCATTTCATATTGAACTCAAACTTGTGATACGGAGTGAAATTTTGCATTCCATCATTTGAAGTCTAACTGTGACGGTCACTTAATTCTGCAGTTTTCAGACTGCCGCATGTGCTTGTGTTGGTGGCAACAGACAGGTTTACTTCGTGTTAGATTTTAGTTATTAACTTTATATTTCTAATTACTTTTAATTCTTTTTGGTGAATTTTATATTATTCATCATCATCTAACGTACCTACCTCCATTTTTCCAAATGGCTTATGTTAAGATTTGTTTCAGGCAAGTTATTGCACTTAGCATCAAACTTCTAAAAAAGCTGCTAAAGATTTTAATTTTAACATACTATACTATGCTACAGTAGTCAGAGGGTACTTTGGCTAGCATTTATTCCATATTTAAGTTCAGAGTCTTAAAACTGTGACTGCTAGATTTGATTTGAGTTTTGTAGCTTTCTCCTGACTGCTGCGAGAGGTACTGGTAGGAAACACTGAAATGGTAAAACTGTAGCAGCAACTCACATTTTTATGATATGCGTGGTCTTTTTTTATTGATTGGGAAAAAGATCTTTGATCATTATTGTTATTATTTATATTCTTCAGCCTGACAGGAAAATATTTTATTCTGAATATTTGATAAAAATTTATGAAATGTGAAAAAATTTTAGTAGGTTAATTTTCTATTACTTTGCTAACTCATAGAGTCAAACATCAAAAACCAGCCCCCCCGGGTCGATCAGAGGGTCAGCCTGTGATCGTCTGCTTTCAGATGTGATTTTTGTTTAAAATGTGTTTGATAAACCAAGTGTTAACAATTCATAGATTTAAGTCTAAAATGAATTGTTGGCTTTGTAGGAGACAGAGTTGAACCTACATGCAGTTCTGCTGGTAAACCCTAGGTTAGTCATATGCACCAAAGAGCTTACTCTTGCAGTCTACATTAATCCAAAATTGCCTAAACTTTAAATGTCAAATTAGAGCAGAAATCAAAAATGAATTGAGCATAACATTTCAAATAATTTTGAAGTTTCTAAAGCTTCTGTTTCTGTGGTAAAAAAAGTTTATGGGAAAAGTGATTTAGTCATTTTGTAAACCTGAAAATTATATAAGCTATTAAATACTGCGTTGGGAGTTTAAATGTGAGCTGATTTTGATGCTCTGATTTTGCGTATGTCATTCGTTTTTCTGTCCTGTGATTTACAGGTTTAAATTAGTATAACTCTTTACCTTTTACCTCAAAGAGGTAGTATGATTACAGAATTTGAATAATTGTATGTTTTCTCCTCTTAGAATAAAATAGCCTTTGCAGTAGAGCAATAGCATTCTGTTTTGTGAAGAAATCTCAAAAAATGAAGATCGCTTAAAATTTTTTTTTTTGTTCTTTTAAGAGTAAAATTCCTGTCGGAATTAAAGCTGGGAGTGCTAATAAGGTGAGTTGCTTTTCTTCCTTGAGTATTTCTGCTTTATGTGGTGAAGCTTACCATTTACTAGTTGCCAGGAGTTACAGAACAGAGTGGTAAAATGGTTGATTGGGAATGGACACACTTTGCCTAAAACCCTCTAACTTCTAACTTTTGCAGCAAGTATGGAGATTGTATATTCTCACAATTAAAATTATATAGCTTCACTTCTGTTTTTCGGAACCTCTAGAACTACAAAGTGTTACTACGAAGTCAGATGGCCTCCTCAACAGGTGTTTTATCATGTGCCTATTTTTAGTCTTCTGTTTCAACTAGTCAACCTGTCATATTTGGGATTATGTTGGACAGGGTAAACAATTATCAAGATATTTTGAGCCTACTACTTTTAAATGGAATTAAACTATTTTTTTTTAATTAAAGATTACCCTTTTCCTCTTCTGAATACGCTGTAATTCACTGTGTCATTCCCATGTTTTTAGAGCATAGTTCACGTGGAGCTTTCGCCATTGCACATGCATGTGAAGGCCCGCATGCCCTCCCTCTCTGCTTCCTTCTGTGAGGCCTTGTTTCTCCATCATCTCCCGGGGCTCTCTCCCAGGTGGTCTTTTGTTCACATTCACTCCCTTCTATTTATTTTTGTATCAGATCTCTAAATTAACAGAGTATAAAGACAGTAGAAATCCCTGTGGCCTCCTTCCCAACCCCATTCTGTGTCCTCCCTCCCCAAAGTGAGACATGTTTCTGAAGTCGATGTGTGTGCTGTGATATACTTTCTATTTTTATACTTTATTGTACAAGCATCCACAGTGTATATATAGGCCTTTTCTACGGAATTTTTAAAAATTTAAATACTATATTTTTGTATTTATTCAAGTTAAATACATTTTTGAGTGTGTATTTTTAAACATGTTCTGCTTTTGAAATTTTGTCTCTGTTGATATATGTCAATTTAGTTAATTCCAACATTTGTATAATATTCAGTTGTATGACTACAGTATGTCCTGTATCGATAGGCACTTCAGTTGCCTTTGGTTTTTGCTCTTACAAGCAGTGAGGCCCTAGCGTCTTTGTCCTTTGTCTCGTGTGCTCACACGTAAGTTCCTCTGGGTCTAGATGTAGAAATAAGATTGCCGGGCCATGGGGCGTGCCTGCCTCAGCCCCACGTGATAACAGTACCCAGTCACTTTCGAAAGCGATTGTTCATCGTTTTGTTTCTAAGTGTTGTTCTGGATTTGGTTTCTGTGGTGGGACTGCTGGTTTAAGGGTTTATGCCTTTTTACAGCTCTTGATACATGTTAAATTACATTCCCACAAGGGTTGAGTTTACATCATCATCAACATGTTGGTTATGTTTTTAATGCCTTCGCTTATTTATTAGGTAGAAATTTGTGATTCATTTCATTTGTATTTCTTATATTTTTTAATAATAGGATGTGTCTATATTTAGTGTATGTTACCATTGACAGATTGCCTGTTCTGCCAGTTGAGCCTGAAATAAAAAGGAAGGTAATGACTGTTACTCAAACTTGTTTGTTGTACACTTCCTTTTAGTACTTGAAAGTGGCAAACAATACCAAGGAATTAGAAGATTGTGAGCAAGCCAATAAGCTGGGGGCAATTAACAGCACATTAAGGTAAGTTTTGTTTTAGTAGTATTTAAAAAATTCTGTCATTTGTATCAGAAATCTCCTGTTTTTCTTGTGATTTTAAAACATTAAAGTTTCAACTAATTTTTAAAAGGAAGAAGTTATTCTTTATCCTGAATCCTATGAGAGCTGTGCTTCCTCTTGTTGGCTGATTTGTTCTTAAATTTCTAAATCATCAATAGCGCCTTTATTAAAAAGTAGGAATTTAGAAGATTGCTCAGCTTTTGCAGGGTTTAGGGGTCTGTTCGTTCTGATTATTATGGGAAAAGGAACTTGAATCTCTAAGTCTTTTTATAAATAGTAATTCAATTTATATGTTACCCTTTGAATAAAAGTGACTATTATAATAGTACACATGCAGTTTTCCACTGTCACACACACATGTGAAGGTCCTAATACTCTCCTTATTTGAGTTTTCCTTATTTGCTCTAAGTACAAACCTGCTTTTGAGGGCCAACATAAATAATTTGTAAGTGGTCTCAAATTGTGCAATATAAAATGACTGAATATATATCAGTGAGTGGGGAATGGAATATTATATAAATAATATATCCATTATTTAATATATCCATTAAAGAATGGAAATTCTTTTTAATTTCCCTTGTTTTTAATTGTTTGTTTAGATTTGTATTTATATACTATAATTGCTATAAACTTAATAAAGTTAGCAGTTTTATTTATTTATTGAAAAAATTTTCATTTAGAAAAGTAGAAAGGATAATATAAATACCCATATACTCTCCATTCCAAATGAATAAATGTTAACATTTTCTACCTCTTACAACTTTTTTTTTAAAAAGAAGAGAAGCATCAAAGATAAAATTTAAATCCCCCATATTCTATTCCTCAATCCTGTTTTCTTTCCTTCTTTCTTAGCGGTAACTACTGTCATGAATTTAGTGTATATCCAGGCCAGGTTTTTGTTTTTATTACATACGTGTACAGTTTTGTGCATATGATTTGACTTTTCCTTTATGTGAATGATATAATACTGTATTTAACATTCTGCAACTTTCATTTTACACTGCATATTTGGCTTTCTACACCTATCCATGTTAAAACAGAGGTTTGCCTCATTCTTTTAACCGATGCATAGTTTCCCTCGTATTAATATACCACATTTTACTTATTTCCCTACTGATGGACGTTTAGGTTGTCTCAAATTTTTTGCTTCTACTGTGCTACCTTGAGCATCCTTGATGGTTTTCTTTGATGCACACTAAAAGGAAAATATCTACGGAAGTTAATATCTGTGTTTTTCATATACTTTGTTTTCATCATTCCTTCATGTAACAGTTAAATGAGTTTGTGACACCATGTAACTAATAAAGAAGTGACCCAGCTTATCTATTTTTAATTACACTAGAATACATTGTTAAAATTTGCAACTCCAGATTTAATCATTTTCCTCTTTATTCCTCCTTCCCATAGTAATCAAAGCAAAGAAGCATTCATTGACTGGGCAAGATACGATGACTCACAGGATCACTTTTGTGAACTTGATGGTAATAAAATAAACTATCATAATTAAATCATTTCTGCTTTAACCCTTTTATAAGACATTGAAATCAATTAAAATATCAACAGTTGGAGCTTTAAACACTGCATGTCGCTCTGTGGGTCTTACTCATAGTGGCATTACTGAGAGCCTGTGTCCCAAGCCCTGTGCTCTTGCCTTAAGTGTGGTGCCTCCAGCCTTTACAGCCACCTGAGGGAGTGCGTATTAGATCATGTCTGGGGAGTCCCAGAAAGACTAAGTACCTTGCCCAAGATCACACAGGAGCAGGAGGCTGAGACAGGATTTCCCCCCAAATATGACTGAATCCAGAGCCTGTATTCTTTCCATTATAAAGTCCTGCTAGTTTCTCAGGGTCACGCTGTCATTCCCGGCTGCAGTGAAACAGCGCACAGCGGGCTTCTGCAGGGGTCTGGTCAAGGGAGAAGATACTGAGAGATGCAGTGTAATCACCATGGTTTGCAAGGGTTCCGGAAGGAAATTTTTAAGAAATTTGAGCTGAGTTTCTTTGGGGTATCTGGATATAATAATGTGTGATTAATAAAATACCCTGTAATGATATTTAGGATTGGCAGAGCAAGCCGTTGTATCTGGGCCAGGCACACACCTCACTCCCTACTCTTTCATTTGCCCTTCGGTTGTCATTCTAATCATATTTGAGTGTTTAACACGTATAGTCACTTCTGCCCCATTTTTCATTTTCCCGATCCTCTGATGACAATGAAAACATTTTAATAGTGCTTATTTAACAGGGTTTCAAATAAAAAAATATGGCAAATATATATTCTTTCAGTAAGTGGGAATATATATTTCTCCTATAGGTGCATGATAAAAAAAATACTATTCAGGGATCACTTGCTATGATTAAGTGATGAGCTCATTACCTGTCATCAATATAAATCATATTAACTAATTTTTTCACATTAGCTTCTTATATTGCTAATTAGTAACTTTTATATTTGAGGTAGTTCCTACACATATGAGCATGCTACTGGCTCCGTCACCACTCTTCTCCTGAGTGGTGTTGTCATGTGTGTCACTGTGACGTACGCCTGCAACTTTAAAAAATACAGAGTCCAGAGTCATTGTTTAGTTGTTGTCTAGAATCATCGGATAAAAACAGAAATCTAAAGAAGTCACCCCAGTTTATTGGAACATATCCGTACAGCCCTGCTCTCTACTGTTTTGTTCTTCTGTCATTATTTGAAAGGAAGATGATCCACACAGATCAAATAGTAGGTTTTTAAATAATTTAGCAGTTGAAGGTGAGCAGCTGTCCCTACTCCTCTCCATTTTTTTGTTGTTATTGTCTTTATGCATGGCTTGCTCCTTCCTTGGCTTCAGGTTTCTGCTCAGATGTCACCTCATGAAAGCCTGCCGTCTCTCCCTGTGCAGAATAGTAACCACTACCGCGCGCTGTTTGCAGTGCGGCCTGCTCACCCGGAGAACTGCCTGGGAGTGCCGAGCACGTTACCTGGTTTATCTGTGCGTGTCTTTCTGCTCCAACCAGATTGTGCACCGCCACTTGAGGGCAGGGACCTAGCCTTTTCGGCTCTCTACTGTGTCCCCGGTGCCTAGGACAGTGGCAGGACATGTCCACGTGCAATAGATCTTTGCTGGATTAAGTAGTTGGCTCATAAATAACCTACATAGTGTGATAGATTTTTTTACTTTATTTTCCCTTAAGACATTTATTAATAAGTTAACAATATTGTTTAACACAGTAGTTTTTAAAATCAGGCTGTGCATCAAAACTATGTGGGCACTTCATACACTGTAGGCTCTCCTGAGCAGGGATGGAGTTGGCGATGGAGGGTGGTAGGCTGAGGCGCGAGTCTTTGTCTCACTATTTCTGACCTGTGTCAATACGCAGAAAGCGTACACACTGCGCTGGCCTATGCCACCATTGTTTTCAAAGAGATTTGGTTTAGGAGACAGGCAGGAGTGCGTAGCATCCTGGAAAATGCAGTGTAGCCTCATAACATTGATATTAAATTAGGACAATGACGAGGAAATTCAGTTGGGGGAAAAAAGTATACTTGAGAAGGAGGAAAAACATAGTTCAAGTTGATGAACTCCCAGAATTATGTATTTTATTCCGTGGAAGCTCTGTGACTGTTTGAGGAATGGTTATGAGCATGGCACATAGAACAGCTTTGCCGAGGAGGAAGAAGAGAAAGCCCTTTGGGGGGAGGACATGGTAGGGTCCAGAGAGAACCGGCCGAATGAGTGATGCAGCTGTACTGATGGAAAGAAGTTAAAGTTTAGGAACAAATTAGTTAAAATTGTGACACATGTGGCCCAGGGGTATGGAGGGGCACCAGCCCTGGTGTGTTCATAGGGGGCTTTCTCCCACACGCAACTCCTCACCCTGGATTTGGTGAAGTCTTGTCAGCATGGGTTGGGGGCAACAAACTTTGCTTCTGTAAATGGACAAATAGTAAGTACGTTCGGCTTGTGGACCACATGGTCTCGGCTGCAGCCATTCAGCTCGGCCATAACAGTGCGAAAGCAGCAGCAGGCAGATGGCGTGATTTCTCTTCCCGTAAAACCTTTACAAAAATACACCACATACCAGACTTGCTCTGTGGGCCATAGTTTGCTGACCCCTTCCACAGATTAACAAAACCCACTTCTTCATGAAAAAGTATTAAAAATTATTAAGGAAGCTTTGATTGAATTAAAGAAATACATGTTAAGAACATTGAGAAAGTAAGTTTTAGTTAAGAGGGTAATTAAAAATTGGTATAATAGATTTTGCTCTTGTGATCTTCTCCTTTAAAATATATTTTAAATCTTTATACTTTAATATATGAATCTGGTTGCTTTTCTTTTTTGATTGTTTAGTTGTTTTTGTTGGACAAAGAGGTTGACACTAGTCCAATCTGCATGTTCATAGGTGACCCTACATACGTGTGGGCTTACGCACACACACATTCCTTATATGTGTGTACCTACACGCTTCGGTCAGTAAAGATATATGTATGTTAATAATATTTTTAAAGCTTATGTACATAATTGAATTAATTTTGCAGTTGAATTTACTAAAGAACAGCTCAAAGGAATTAAAAATATATAACAAAAGCTAGTGAATTGTAAAATTTTTTTGGAGTTTTACTATATACAAAAGGTATACTTTTATTATTTTTTAATTTCAATCTTTGTTTTTAAATTAAGGCTTAAAAATTATATTATTTCTTTTAAGTTGAGTCAATTTATGACCTTGGGCAGTTCATCCATCTGTAAATTAACAGTTTTTGGTGTCTTGTAAAGCAGGATATCTATAGGATATCTATACGATGTTAGGACTAGAAATAGGGCCAAAATTCTTCCAAATCAGGTTCCATTGGCACTAAGTTTGACACAGCTCCCTGAGGAATGAATAGTTGTAATTATCTCTGTGCTCGTCCTGTATCATGTAAGCACCGGGTAGATCTTGGAAGGCATGGGTCCGGCTGCTTGTGATTGTGGGTAATCTCAGTCACGGTCAGTGAACACCCAGTGAATGTTGACTGATAGGAAAATATACAATCAGGTAATGAAAAGAAGAGGGATGATATTTTAATGACCATATTTGACCACTATTTTAAGTCACATGCCTACTGCTGTTGATGTAATGTCATGACTCCAGAAAGCAGGACGCACGTAAATAAAGGGCCACACCAGTGCCTGCATATTTGGCATCCAGCTTCCATGTCTTATGATCATACATTTGTGAGCATGGTCATTGTAGTTTTTCTGTAGGTATGAAGAGTGGGTTTCCCTTTCTCCCTGGACTGTGAGCCCCAATAATAAGGACCATTCTTCTTGATTTTTTGTGTCCCTCAGTGATCTTTATTGAAATGTTGTCCAAATGGTGGAGATCTAGCAAATGCTCATTTAGGTTTTAACATAAAGAAAATGGTTATATCATTTTAAATGTCTTAAGTTCTTGAAATTGTACCTCATATGTTTGTTTGAGAGGGAAGAAAACCATTTCAATGTGTTAACATTGGTAAAATAAATTAGTGACATGTTTAAAAATTAGACCATTGTCTAACTGGAGGAATGATCAAATTTGAACCACAAAGTTACTGAACCATTTACTTCATAAGACAAAAGTAGAGAGTAACAGGATCTTTATTTTTAATACAACATATGCTAACAAATAAATGTTTCCAAGCTTGTGTTTAGCTAGGTATACACTTAGGGAAGAAATCAAATAAAATATTAAAACAGGTGATGATTTTGCTAGGTCTTTTCAGTCCTGGTGGTCAGTGGAGACACAGTGAAGGTCTCGAACCAGGCGAGGGCCCTGCCCACTGCAGAGCACCCTGTCCAGAGGAGGAGGGTGTGGCTCTTCCTCTTTCAAGTCTGAGGCTCCGTGAATCCCGGGTCAAGTACAGTCACAAGTGTGCTCCCCACTCTGCCAATTAAGTTGGAGATTACTTGAGAAGTGTGGCATTTCTTTAACCTAGTAGCCGTGTTTGCTTTATAGTGCTAAAGCTGAGACAAATTGTGAAACAGGGATAGTTAATGAATTGTTTCTCATTTAGATGAGAGGTCGCCAGCTGCCCAGTACGTAGACCTGTTGCTGAACCCAGAGCGCTACACCGGCTACAAAGGGCCGTCTGCGTGGCGAGTATGGAACAGCATCTATGAAGAAAACTGTTTCAAGTAACTAGCAGAGGAGTGGGGAGGAAAGAATGTGTTTGTGTCTGTTGGGAAAAATTCATAACAAACGCAAATCATTTTATGTTTGAATTTTGTGGGGCTTTTTTTTTTTTCAGGCCTCGATCTGTTTATCGTCCTTTAAATCCCCTGGCACCCAGCCGAGGTGAGTTTTTTTAAATACATTTTTATGCTCTTAGAGATTATTCACAAAATGTCTTTATAACTAAAGAATTTGAGAAAATTTTGAGCTGTTTTATAGGTTGCTTAATTTGAATGATCAAAAAAGTATATTAAATGCTCATAGTTAAGTCTCAAGATTACTACGTGTTTTCATTGAGCACCAGAGATGTGCCAGACCCTAAACTAGGAGGTTTATGTAAAATTAGTTCGACTATGTGGGTAATCCATATATCAGCAGTTTCCTGGGGAGCTCTTAGAAGCCTGGAAGCCCAGGCCCTGTCCCATACCAACTGAGTCCGAATTTCTGGGTTAGACCCAGGCATGGTGTGCTTTCTCTCCAGCTGAGTCCGGTATGCAGCCAAGTGTGAGAACCGCTGCCTGACGCGTGCTTCTCAAACTTAGTGTGCACACCGGTCACCAAGGAGCCTTGGTAAAATACAGGTTCTGATTCTGTAGGTCTTGGGTAAGGCCCCAGATTGTCACACCCTCCCAGGCGATGTCCAAGGTGCTGACCCACGTACTTCACTTGGAGTCACGGGATGTGGAGCAGTCTTGGGAAGTTAGGTCGCCTGCAGCCTGTACTGTTGGGTGAGGCAGCCACTTGCCACATTGGACTACTGAGCTCATGAAATTAATTTTATACTTTATTTAATTTTAGTGTATTTAAACTTAAAAACAGAAACAACGTAAGACATTTTTGCCATTAAACAGAACTTTATTCTTTTGGTAGGACTGCTTAAACTCTAACCATATTGTAGTGCATATATACCACCTACTTTTTGCAATGTAGATATTAGAAAATATTTTATTAGAAATTAGAAATTTTTACTGGAAAAAATTTAAATCTGCATGTGTGGCTGGCATTGCATTTCTGTGAGACAGCATTGCTGTAGGCAGTGGGAGGTTGCTCGGCATAAAACTCGGAGCACACCCTCAGTCTGCTCTCGAGGAGCCAGCCCCAGGGAGCAGCCCTGTAACCGACTTGCCCTTCCAATGTTTCCTTCAGACCAGGGTTGTAAGAACTTCAATTTCCTGGGCTAGGTTTGTATCTGCAGGCATTTCTGAGAGCCAAGGAGGCTTAGGAAGGTTGAGCGAGTGGACCGCTCGTAGACACTCGCTCAGTCACAAGTGACTGGCATTCCTTCCCAGATTTGGTCAGGGAGGGGTGCGTGGCCTCTCACCCTTTGTTTGCTTTACTTTATAACTTTTCTATTTGCAACTTCAATGTTTTTATTACACAAGATTAAACAAAAATTAGAACAAAAGTTATATAAAGTACAAAGGGAACACTCCCCCACCCCCGCCCAGCCTCCACACTCTGTTCCATTGGACAGTTTGGAACACTTTTGGACAGTTTTCCTATGATCACTTTATTTTCGAGGATTAGAATTTTTAAAATTTCTTTTCTTGAGGCGTAGGTGACATATAACTATATTCGTTTCAAGTACACAACATAATGATTTGCTACTTGTATCTGTTGTGATGTGATCACCACATTAAGTCTAGTAACATCCAGCACCACACAGTTAGAAATTTGTTTTTCTTGTGATGAGGACTTTTAAGATCTACTCTCTTAACACCTTTCCAGTATGTAATAAGTATTACCTCTAGTCACCGCGCTGTACATGATATGCCCGGGATGTACTTATTTTGTAACTGAGGTTTGTGCCTTTGACCTTCTTCACCCATTTCACCCCCATCTTTGGCAACCATCCATATGTTCTCTGTATCTAATAGTTTGGTTTTTTGTTTTTCTTTTGTTTTGAGATTCCACATATAACTGAAACCACAGCATATTTGTCTTCCTCTAGCTTTATTTCACTAAGTATAACACTCTCAGGGTTCATCCATGTTGTCACAAGTAGCAAGATTTTATTGTTTATTGATGGCCTATGCATTTCATTTTTGTTGAATAATATGATCACTTCTAAAGCAGAAAATATAACTGTTTATTTAATAAAACCACCAAACCCTAAGAAATACTTCACTTCCGTAGTATGATAAGTCAGAGCCGTGAGAGCGCTGGAGAATTGAGGAGGGAAGGCCAGAGCTACCTAGAAAATGACGGGGGTGGGGCTGGGGTAGGGGGAGAGGAGGAGAGGAACGAAGAAAGGGAAATAGGAAGGAGGGAGACCTGCTGCGGGAGGGAGGAGGTGTGCTCTGCAGAGCGTGGAAGTCGCTCTCCCTCGTGCTGTTTGTGCGCTGTCTCCACGGAAACTGCGGGCTGTGGGCCAGCAGGTCTCCCATTGTGAGCTGTGTTCCTTCCCCAGTTTCCGAGCCACAGCCACTGGGCTTCTACAGCTGCCTCCCCAACAGCTTTTGAACAGCAGAACCTTTCAACAAAAATGAAATGCAGTGAGGGTTTCACTGACTACAGTTTGGGAAGAACTTTCGTCCAGGCGTGTGTGTGCCTGGGAGCAGTAATTTCAAAGGCAGAAGCGGTCCAGCAGGGACAGGCCGGCCGAGAGCGCCCTGTAGGTGATGAGGAAAGGAGCAACTTCAGTGTTTGTAGTTCATGATTGACACTGGTCTTTGTGGTTATTTTTAGTTCCTTTCTGATATTATTTATTATATGAAAAGTGAAAATCTTGTACTTTTGGGCCTATACTCTTATTAAGAAGTCTCATTTGCAGGGTGACCACACATGGACCAAGGTTCAGGGTGTAATCAGTAGTTCAGCACACAGGAAGTTTTAATCTGATACTAAAGTTAATAGGATTGGAATCTGAACTGTGTAAGATGTCTTCTAAAATCCTGTCTATTGTTTTCTCTTTCAGGAGAAGATGATGGTGAGTTAAGCTTTTGTGTTTTTGTTTCAAGTAGAAGAAATGTCTTTAATGATCAAAATTTGTTTTTTTCCCCTAATTCAAAAGGCAGTGTTTATCTTACATTTTTAGAAAATAGCTACCAACAAATAGTGACAAAAATTGAGTAGTCTTAATAATATACCGTTATCCAATGTTTAAAAAATATGTAAAGATCATTTTCCCTAAACGTTTAGAATAGGAACCATGATCCCATGCCAACTTCTCAATTTTCTGGTTATTATAATCTACTTAAATATGTTCTGAAGAAACAGAAATTAGGATAGTTTGACCAGATAATGTGTCTTGTGATTTATTTTTCTTATTGACTTTGAAATGTATAACCTCAGTTATTATAATACTTAATCTGATGAATAATACTAAATTATCAGCTGTGGGTTACTCCAGGGTACAGAATGACTCTTTGTTGGACGATGGCCCCAAATTCCCTAAATACTTATTTCAAATGAATAATTATATTAAATCTACCTTCTGTTCATAGTGATGTTGTGCAGGATAGAAAGATGTATAGAAAGTGATGCTTTCCCTCTAGGAGCTGACAATATATATAGCGGAAAGGATAAGCTCTATACATAAAGATAAAGAAGTATTAAGGTTGCAGGTTCGATCCACAGTCAGAGCACATGCAAGAATCAAACAATGAATGCATAAATAAGTGGAACAAATGAATGTTTCTCTCTCCCTCTCTCTCTCTTCCTCCTCCCCCCATCTCCCCCCTCCCCCACCTCTCTTCCTCTCTCCCTCCCTTTTGCTCTCTTCCCACCTCCCTTTACCCCTCCCTTCCCCTCTCTCTCTAAAAATAAGTAAAAATTTTTTTAAAAAAGAAGCACTACTCATATGTAGCACAAACAGCCCATAACATAGCTCTGTAGCAGTAGAGAAATCGTATTTCACTGGAGTGATCTGAGACAGCTTAGGTCTATATAATCGGATAGTGTGTGCTGTTTGGAGAAATAGCATGAACCTAGGAGTTGAGAAAGGAAAAATCGAGCGTGTTTGGGGAGACACCCTGTGAGCAGGAGGATAGACTTTTATGGGGGGTAAATTAGGAAGATGAGTAGAGGCCAGATTATTGAGAATCGTGAGACCTTCCTGTTAGCTGTTAAGATTTTTTTTTTCTTTTAATAACAAAGGGAGATAATGATGAACGATCCTTAGTAAAAGGCTGTTGAATGAATGAATCTGCAGGAAGATGTTAGAGTGTATTGCCTGTCATTTTGTTTCTCAGAACAACAGTGTTGGTCTACTTGCCAGCTTTACTGAGGAATCATCTGGAAAACTAACAGGTTTAAAAATTATCCCTTGAAATTTAGTTGTCTTAGATAATTGAGGAAATATGCCTAGCTTTACTAGATCAGGAAAAAATATGGAATAATAATTAGATTTTTGTATTAATTATAATTCACTACTTTTTTCTGAAATTTAAAAGAGTGCTATAGTTATCATCAAAAGCAAATTTAAGATTATTAAACTCTCCCCTTATACTTAATGGAAGTTTAAGCTTTCTAGTAATGAACTATAGAAATGATCCCTGAAAGTATAGTCTTAGTTTAAACTTTCTAGTGAATAAGGTTTATAAAACATTTTGACGAAAATGTTTTCTCAAAAATGTTACTAGTCAAAATATCATTTATAAGAACATCGTTCCAATACTTCAGTTATGTTTGGGCTTTATTTTCACATGAAACAGTGGACATTTCTAAAGATATTCCTTAATCTGTCATAAAAATATTTATAGACAATTTATTCTAATATGTAAATTGCTATTTAAAATATTTTAACCCAGTTCTGTGTGTATGTGTGTTCTTTTTTAAAGGAGAATCATTCTACACTTGGCTAGAAGGTAAACTATGTCTGTGTTTTAAATTTGTTAGATTCTTGTAAGAAACGTCTTAATATATTTTTATAAGTTTTAGGAGTCATTGCCTAGACAACTAACTTTGACTACATTCTTTGACTAAAGAATGTAACATGTTTTAGGTTGTTATATTTTGAGATGCAACTATTTGAAAACCGTGGGGCCAGAGGTCAGTGCTGTGGAGCCACAGGGCGGGCTGCCGCTGTCTCCTCGCCCCCCCCCCCCCCCCCCCGCTCCTGCTGCAGGGGGCTCATCCAGCCACGCCTCACAAACACCACCAGGCCCAGCGTTTCAGTGGGGCTTTTTGTATGTGAAATTAAGGGAGGGTAAATTTCAATTCGGGAGGTTTTAAACATGTTTTTTTACACATGTCAATATAGTCTAAACTTGTCTAATTAAAGGATAAGCAATATAGGTCCCAATATACTATATATTTTTGTATTATATTTTCTAATATTGAAAATATTAGAGATATAAGATGTTATTAATAGCTGAAATGTTCTAGGATTTTAATAACTGGATATATGATGCTTTTAAAAAACTTACCAAATTCCCATTAATTTATAAAACTAAAAGTTAAAATATATTAATGAAAGATAAGTAAGCTGAATGATACAGGAAAATTGATATTTCATAGCCATAACCTGACGAGAACTGTACAGAGTTAAACTAAGTAGTTGTCTATTGTACCTTTATCTTTAATGAGCTATGTGTACATATTGGCCATTATTAAGGTAACTGTTATTAATGTGTAGATACTGCTAGGAATTGTATCGATAAATGCCTGTGTGGGAGAAGATGCTTAGCTCTGTCTAATTAGTTTTATTCTAAAGCCACAAATTGTGAAAAGTAATATTTAGGTTATGAGAGGTGGTAAGAGATCCTGAATATTGATAATGAAGGACGAGAATGACATTTATGGGCAACATTGGGTTCTGGGGAACACTGTGTCCACCGGTCTCGTAGGATCTGGCTGATGGGCACCCCGTGCGGGAAGGACTCCTATTTATAGGCAACTGACTCACATTTTCTGAGATTCTGTTTCCTCATCTGGGGCACAAAAGTGGCCATTGCCATCCAACTGTGAGAGTAGATCATGCCTGTGAGTCTTCCTTTGAACACCACTAGGTACTAATGTATGTCCACATGCCAAATTACACACATTGTGAAAGGAAAAATTATATCAGTCTCCTCTGATCAATCCAGTTGCTGAAGACGAATTTGAATGAAAAAAAAAAAAAAAAAGATGAGAGCCACTTTCAAAATGGGGTAGTGAATTTGCTCTGTATTGTGAGGAATTTGCCTTTTTGCTTGGACGTGTGACCCTGAAGCCTCTGCTCGGAACCAGCAGCCTGCTGTGGGAGGAGCTGTCCAGAGTTCCCTACCTGTGTCGTCTGTCTTGCTGGAAGACCTTTTACTGTTACCATTTTGCTTGAAGTTACCTGGTTTTCATGTTTATGAAAGTGCGTTTCCATTCCTCCCTACTCAGTGAGGGCCCTTGTGGGCGTTGCATGTTAGAATTGCCTCCTCGGTTTCCCGGCCTTGTTGCTGGGCCTGTGCACCTTCACAAGCCTTGCTTTGCCTGCTCTCCTTTCTCTAGTCTTCAGGCACTTTCTGGACATGAGTCCCCGCTGCTTGCAGAGAGGCCTGTGGGGAGGAAAAGAAAGTGGACAACTTCAAATCCGATCATTTTGTTACAATAGATTAGGCGTTTTACTAGAGGAGAAGTTAGTACCTAATGTCTTATCAAATTAAGGCAGTATCCCTTTTTACTGTAAACATTCCAAATTGGCCATATACTTTTAGGAGGAAGCTTCAAAATAGAATTTAATTTCTACATTTTGTTCTCCATCCATAACAATGGGAATATTTTAGCAAAAAGTCTAAATTAGGGAATGAGATATCAAGCTATTGTTAAGCCAAACAGGACTTGATAATTACCTTGCTTTAGTTTAACCTAAACCATGAAAAATCTGTACTGTTGCCTTCTGAGTAATGTAGGAACCTGCCAAGTGCATCCATAGTGTTTGAACCTCCAGTAGCCCCATTTTCTGTCTTATTCTTTATTCAGTTTTCGTTTAGTTCACTCTGTTTGGAAGTCAGAGGCTTATATTCTCTCCTAGTGAGAGAATCTTGATCCAATTTTTTCATATTATTCTTTGACTTATTCTTAATGTCCTTGAATCTTAACTTTAAAAATAAGCCCGTGTACTGAATCTTCAGCATTTCTGTTATCTAAATGGATGTGATATCTTTTTCAATATTTTTCTGAATAGGTTTATGTCTGGAGAAAAGAGTCTTCTATAAGCTTATATCAGGACTTCATGCCAGTATCAACTTACATCTATGCGCAAATTATCTTTTGGAAGGTAATCAGACTTTTACGTAGAAATTTTGCCCTGTTAGTCTGAAAATTTTGGGGAGAAAATACATATTCTCTATAGAGAAAAAATCCTATTTATTAAAAGTATATCTTGTATTTCTCTTTCACTTTAGAAACCTGGGGTAAACCTAGCTGGGGACCTAACATCAAAGAATTTAAACGCCGCTTTGACCCTGTGGAAACCAAGGGAGAAGGGCCAAGAAGGTTAAAGAATCTGTACTTTCTGTACTTAATTGAGCTGCGAGCTTTGTCAAAGGTGGCACCGTATTTTGAGCGCTCCATCGTTGATCTTTACACTGGAAATGTAGAAGACGATGCTGACACAAAATCCCTCCTCCTGAGTATCTTCCAGGACACAAAGTAAGAATCCAATAAGTGCTCTGAGGCTCTCCACTCAGGTTTGAATGAGGAAGCAGTTAAAGTACAACACAGCCCTGGCAGGTGTGGCTCAGTGGATTGAGTGCTGGCCTATGAACCAAAGGGTTGCCAGTTCGATTCCCAGTCGGCCACATGCCTGGGCTGCTGGCCAGGTCCCCAGTAGGGGGCATGTGAGAGGCAACCACATTTTGTTTCTCTCCCTTCCCCTCTCTAAAAATACATAAATAAAATCTTTAAAAAATATATATATAACACAAGCTAGCTTCTCACAGTTATTAGAAATGAGAGAGTTAGAATGGAGAAGGGAATGATCAATAGAACAGCAGTCTTTAAGGTTTTTTTCTAAAAATATTAACTGAAAATCATCTATAACGCATCATTACAGTTCCACACTTGAGAATGGGCTGGATTTTAAAATACAACTTTAAATATAGTGCCACTTTAACGTTCTTTCTACCAATTGCATAGCCTTCCAGTTGCTATTTAAGTTCATATGTTACCGCATCCATAGATACCTAAGGCAACATCATTAGCCTTACCTTCTACAATATGACCTTTTTAAAAAAAAAATGCTGAGTTTAGAACTTGAGTTTCCTGGTGGTTAAAATGAGCATGGAGGAATGTTGGAAAAGAAGGGCTTAAAGTCCTCACTGGCTGGTGTGGCTCAGTAGACTGAGCGCCAGCCTGCGAAGCAAAGCATTGCCATTCAGTTGCCAGTGTAGGGCACATGCCTGGGTTGCAGGCGAGGTCCCCAGCAGGGGGTGCACAAGAGGCAACCACACATTGATGTTTCCCTTTCTCCCTTCTCCTCTCTAAATATAAATAAAATCTTTTAAAAAGGTGTATAAAGTAAATTCTGCATTACATTTTAAAAGGTGCTTTAAAATATTGAGAATAATGTATGTACATTTTTCACATAAATTATTTTTAGTTATTTTTCATATACTTTTCATAAAACATGAGCTTATACATTATAAAGCTATCTTGCTTTAGTCTATTATTGAATAGTTTGTATGTGAACTGTTTGTCACTTTCCTGTTACTAAACCTTACATATGAGTAAATTATGAATTTTAAATATTTGTAAGGATAAAAAATTCTACCAGAGCTCTAATGCATAGTACTTGGATTTTTGTCTATAACTTAATCATATTGTCATTCCATCAGGTCCTTTCCCATGCACTTTGACGAGAAGTCCATGTTCGCAGGTGACAAAAAGGGGGCCAAGTCATTAAAGGTAAAAAGTCCTTGGCTGGGGGACCGGGCAAGGGGACCGTTGCCTGGCTGTGCTTTAATCCTGTTTGCCTGCTGGGGTTGGTTGGCTGGGTTTACCGTAAATGATGCAGGAGCCCCTCCTCCACAGTTCCTTCTTAGCTCCTTTCCCATTTGACCAACCGCTTGGCGAGTCCTCAGCCCCTGTGTGACCAATGCGTATGGCACCTTTGTAAATGTCTTTAAAGGGCAGTGTTCTGATAGTTTTCTCACTTTAAAATCACATTGTATTTACTCCACTTTGATGGCAATAAATAGTATGTTTTTCAAAAGCTTGTTTTATGGAACATTAATAATTTACGAAACTCTTATGTTTTTGTCCTTATGGACTAACATAAAAGGCAAAGGTTACCTGTAACCTGAGATATAAGAAGGAGAATATATTTTAGGAACATTATAAAACTTCACGTGAGGAGGTCTTTGTTTTCCTTTGCTTACAGTAAGTACATTAAGCGATATATCATACCCTTAAAATGTTATAAAAAGTACTTGAAATTGGCTGGCAAGTAGCCTTCTAGCACAGCTCCATAATCCTTTCATGCAATTCCAAAATCCAGAAGGTTCCAAAAACTGAAACATGTTTCTTGTGTTTGGTGCAAATTAGTTAGCAAAACCTAACATGACTTGATGTAAGAGTATTTGTAGCCTTTTAAAAAAATTCTGCTTTGTGTAAATATTCTTAAATGTTTGTGTAAATATTCTTACAGAAGCTTTAATGTGTTTGATTACGGGGTGTTGCCATGCACTCTGGAAAAGCGTTTCATAACAAATAGTGAATGCACTGTGTTTCTAAAATCTGAAAAATTCTGAAACACATTTGTCCCCAAGATATTTTAGATGTGGATATACTACATGAAATAATAAATTAGCATTGAGTGGTCTCCATTGGTAAGAGTTCCTTTGTATTTCTGAAATTAAATAATTTAGCCACATAATATTTTAGTTTTGGAAGGCTGTTTTGCTTCATAATTATTTTAGAGGTATACTGCTATTTTGCCGTTTAATATGATAATTCATTTTTGTAATACTTCCTATTTTCTAAGTATTTATACAAATAGACTTTTGACCTTCCAAATGCCCTTGTGTAAAAAGTATGACCACCGTAATTATATATCTTTTTTATAGATGAGGAAGGTGAGGCTGATAAAGGACTGAAGTACAGCTAGCTTTCAGCTACAAAATGCTGGAAATTTTGTTTGCTGTTTTCCAAAGGCATGTAAAGTAGGACTTAGGTCTATTTTTCCACCTGCTCTAAAGAACACGAATTGCGCAAGACTGAAGAGCAAAGGAGTTTTGTGTTCTATTTATATTGTCTTTTTTATGGCCAAGGTACTGGTTCCTCTGGGCTTGTGGTGGCCTGAGTTTTCAAGCTACATGTCTCTAGATTCATGCAATAAAATATTCACCTTGGTACAGTAAAATGATTATTTCCAAGTTTACCATGTCAAAAAGATAAGGAAACTTTCTCTTACCTAATGTCCTCAGGTAACATGAGGCTTCCCTTAGTCATAGGATCATGCACAGGTGCTCACAGGCGGGGGTCTCCCTGTGGGCAAACCCCAGGTCCCTTCCCTGAGAAGCCGCCCTAGTGGATCTGGGGCTGAGACAGCCCCCCTCCACACCCATTCAGCCTGTGGTCATCCATGCGGGGGGAGCCCCGTTACAGGCCGTGTGGCACTAAGGAGAGAGGTGGAGGTCAGCCTCGCTCTAGGACAAGCTGTCTGATTTAGACCCACCCAAAGCAATATGTCAAAAATAAATGAAACTTAGTGTAGCTATATTTACCATTGGTTGTACGCATATTAAATGGCGGCAACTGTGAAGTTCCTGAAAAGTAAAGGCTGAGTACTATTTTCATGTTGGTGCTTTGCATAGAGTTGCCCCTCAGTGAAGTTTGTTGAATATGTGGAATGAATTTTATAAATTTTCATTAATGTTTTATGTTAAACAGTTTGAAATAGTTTTCTTCTTCACTGTTGAAAAACAACTCATTCGCTAATAAACTTCAAAACTTTTACTGTCTATAATTCAAAGGTGGTTTCATTTTAAATGTGTAATTAGAATACAAACACTTTCCACATGTTAGGAGGAATTCCGGTTACATTTCAAGAACATCTCCCGTATAATGGACTGCGTTGGATGTGACAAATGCAGACTGTGGGGGAAATTACAGGTTTGTGTGTTGTCTTCTATTTGTAATTCTTACTAATCTCAAATTTTCCCTCTAAGGAGTTGAAACATTTTATTAAAGGCTCTCATTGTTCCTTGAGTTAAGGATCTGAAGTGCGGTTTTTTTGTGTTTTTGATGAAAAAAGTTAATATTAAACTCTGTGGCTTATATGTGTATGTGCAAGGACATTTTTCCTATTACTCTATGTTAATGATTTTGGTTTTAGTGCATCTTTCTATTGATAAAATCTCTAGTTCATTTCTGAAGTTGGTGGTTATAAGTAGAGTATACTAGTATTTTATATACCTATGTAAAAGGTAAAGTGTAATTACATAAAAAAGACTTAATTATGAAGTTTTGGTCACTGAATTCGTTTCCATGATCAAAAGGCCCCCTAGTCATAGACTAGGAAACCTCTGCCCAGCATTATGTTTTAGTGTGAAGTTCCCTACATGTTCTATGTAAAAAGCATGGATATTTTGTATGTTTTGTTTTTTTTTAACAAAGACAAGTCAGAAAATTAGGAGACAGAATTATTTTAATGGAGGCTACACAGAAATCAGATTTTTTTCTCTAGTGCTAATAATTAAATTATTAAGTGTTGGTATCACTAATGATTTTTAAGTTTTAAGTTGCAAGAATGCTTTCAAGATTGCATATTGAACATTGTAATCCTATTGTCATTTTATAGGTAAAAAAGGTGTTAGTAGTTTGGAATAGTATGATATTCATACTGTTCAGCTGAGATAAATTTATCATGTGCATGGTCTGTGAGGAAGTAGAAACTTCATTTTGCATAGTTTAATAACACAGTGAAGTTCGTTTCATATACATTTCCTGACTCTCATCGCAGTAACTGAGTATTCCTGCCAGCCTTTATAGTGGTCATGGTATGATTTTGATTGTAAGTTTATTAATATTCTTTTTAGACTCAGGGGTTAGGAACTGCCCTGAAGATACTATTCTCTGAAAAAGAAATCCAGAAGCTTCCAGAGAACAGCCCATCGAAAGGCTTCCAACTGACTCGACAGGAAATCGTTGCTCTTTTAAATGCTTTTGGAAGGTAAGGAGGGACTGGTTTCTCAGCTGCATTCAGCTAACTGCAAAGTCCTCTCTGCTAAAGTAGTTTGTTTTGCAGACAAAGAGAAAACTTTTATCATATATTATCATACCTGTACTCCAAAGCCAGTTTCTCAACAGCTCACAGCATTTCTATCTTTACCACCATTTCTCAGTTTGCTTTTCAGTTGCGTGGGGAAGAAGACATTCTCCCCTAATACTAGGTTCCTTAGCTGACCATCTTGAACATCCCTCGTTCAAGAACAGTAGCAGTCCGAGAGCTTGGTTGAGGGGTGATGAAGGAGAGAGAGATGAAACCTTTCAGTTGGTCTTATTTTTTAAACTGAGGAGGCATTTTTCTTTTGCTCGTTCTTACCCTACTTTTTCTGTATACAGATACATAGTTTGCTTTCTGTTTATACCTCAAATGATTTCAAAAATAATTTGAATTTGCCTACAGAGATACATGCAATAGCAACTGAGTAATACAGAACAAAAGGAACGGAATTAGAGAAAAATAATAGTAAGCTGCCCTGGGAAAAAATGCAAAAAAGTCACCTTAAGGAAGAAATTATTTAAAAAATAGAGAACAAAGGGATGCAGAGATTATTTCTATGTTTCTTTAACATACATTTTTAAGTTAAAAAGAGGCAGTTAAATTAAAAATAAATTAGTTGCCCCTTCCCCATCTTAATAGTGAACATTTCACTTGTCGCTTCCCTGTATTTGAAGATGACCACGTAAGCAGAGGTTTCCAGTAAGATAGACATAGAATGTCCATCTGTAATTGGCATTTCTTGAAAAATTTAGTCCACCCACTTATGAGGTCTGAAGTAAGATAAAAAAGGAGAAACTGAATTAAATTTATTTAAAATGTGATTTAAATGAAAAAGATTTTAAATCCAAATACAGTTAAATTGAGAAAGATGCAGATATAACTTTCTGAGAATTTCTCTGAGTCTCACAAAGATTATTGATTGCCACCTTCCCACTCTAGTTCTACTGGAGAGCATGGTCTTACCTCCGTTGTTCTCTAGAGGGCGCCGGACTCAGAGCCAGGGCTGCAGGCGCCTTGTACTCTGGCGGCGCCCTGTGCTGGGAGTGTGAGCATAAGCAAAACGCTCCGCTCTTTCCACTGTCTGGTGGTTCTGCAAAGTGGGGCAGACACAGACCTTCCTCACAGAGTTGCCCTGAAGATAAAAGGTGGTAATGTATGACAGCACCTCTTAAACCCCAAGAGGCTGCCTGAATCCCTTGGCAGTGTGGGTGTTGGTGAGGGCAGTTCACAGATACCAATGGATGGTTAGTGCGCTTATTCTTTTTTCTAACTAGAGGAGATAGGAGAAACCTGTGTTCTTTTAAGGGCAAATACACTGAGGGTGGGCTGAAAGGTATGGCCTAATTTAATCCCCTTTTCCTCCCCAGGGAAAAACAGATAGTGGTTAGTCATTTTCCTTTTACATTCAGTTGAGCTGTATTGTTTCCTTCATATAGATTCTATACATTTCTTACTTCTCCCTTAATGAATGTTGTAGTTTTTCTTAATAATTAATGGGATCTGTTAACTTCATTGTATGTTCCACTTAATTATCATCATACCATGGAAATAATAAATGATTTTGGCTATACTGACAAAATTAATGCTAACTTAGGGGAGTTTATGCATTAGTCTTTCTTAAGTGGACTGGTGGTTTTCTCTGTTGGATAACCTGTTTAATACAGTGAATACCTGTTTAACACCTCAGTCAGGGCACCCAGCACAGCATGGCTTTGTCACATGGTGCTTGTGGGCAGAGACATACAGTGAGCATTGTCTTTGGTTCTGGCCACTGAATCCTGGAAAATGTGGTTTCTTTATCTTGACTGCTCTGCAAGTGTCTTTCCTATACTAGCAGCCATTTTTTGATAGTTTCATCATTTATATCAGGTGGTTTATTTTCCAGGGAACACACAGACATGGCATGAATATACATGTTAGATATCGTAGAATATTTTAGTCCCTCTCTAAAAGGGTAAAGTAATAGCCCAGTGTCTATCTTAGAATAATACTAGAGAAGGTGGGAACACCTCTTGGGTGACACATCGGGAGATCTGGGCTGCTCCTCCCCAGAGGCTGTGCCACAGTGCACGGCAGCTTGTGTTCCCCGCAGATACTCTGCCTGGTAACCATCGGGTTCTCTGATCCTCTCTGTGCCTAAATCGGACTGGGAGTGTGGACTTTACATTCTGAGCACGTCTGCTATTTATTAAGCTCTCTTCTTTAGTCAGTTAGGCCTTGGGCTTTTTACCGCATCTTCATGTATATATTGAATAGGGTTTTTTTTTAACAGCTACTTTGTTGAGGTACAGCATATAATTTTATACATTTATTTTGTTTAATAATTATACTGTTTTTTTCCTCATAATTAAAATCTGTTTCAATCCTTTAATATTCTGACGATTAGAGTAAGAATTCATTTTCTATTAATCATACAACCCATTAGAATATAAGGACAATGAATGGTTTTAAGACCACAAAGAGCCTGGATTTGTTGAGGTATTGGATCTGATTAACTGGGTAGAATGCACCTACCAGCTGGCTGCCCTCGGGAAAGTAACTTGATCTATTTGAGCCTTGGCTTTCCTCAAATGTAAAATCAGGGTTAACTTTACCTTGCAGGATTTTTTTTACAGTTAATGAGGTTATGTGCATGGCGCGCTCAGAACATTGCATGGCATATCCTAAGCTCTTGGTATAAGAAAAGTTATCAGTTATTAAGTATTTAAGAGTCAAGAAAGGAGCTGAATATTGCATACTGTATTATACTCAGTTACAGAAAGAAAATATTAGGTATTTATTGTATCAACCCTGAATTGTACATAAGGATAATTGAGTTCATAGAATTATTTTGTGGCTCCCATTCCAGAGTTTTACTGCTGGACCTGGGTCCAGAAGCATTTTATTCATTCATCCATTATTTATTTATTGAACACCATAAATGTGGGATTTAGCAGTAGACAGTATAAACAGAATCTTTACCTTTAAAGGTCTTGGAGCTAACAGCATAAAACAAATTAGTGTGTTTGGGGAGCAACAAGAAAGGAGCAGACATTTGGAGAGAAATGTGCAAAATGAATTTATAGACTAACTGTACATGTTTTGAGGTTTTTTTATTATAATGAATTACTCATATCACTGTTTCTATCATTCATGTATTGATAATAAGTAACTGGCTTCCTTTGCCCCTTCCAAACCAAGACTGAAGAACCATAGCCCTGTGTTTTATTAATTTTTAATAAGTAATTACAACATACTTATTTTAAAATGAAAGCTTCAATGTTGAATACATTTTTTTATTTTGGATTTTTGCTTCTGAATTATAGCTCATATACAATATCAATCATTTGAAATCTGTGCATATTAGCTATACTAATGTGCTTTTTTCTCTCCAATAGGCTTTCTACAAGTATAAGAGAATTACAGAATTTTAAAGTTTTATTACAACACAGTAGGTAATAAAGGCTTTTGTATGTCTAATTAGAGACATAAAGTGACTACATGAGGACTTTTACTCCTGGACATTCAGCAAAAGGAGACTAATCTTCAAAGACTTCAAGAATTTTGAACTCTTAAAGAGAAAATTCAAATGTTCACTTGAATATTTATGATTCTTAATAGACTGTCAATTAGAGGTATTTATAAAAGAAATATATACTTTTAAAACATGTAAGTTATGCTAATTCTGTGTTGAATTTCATACGTTTCTATCTGTTGAATATTCTGCTGTTTGTTTAGAATTGGTTTTGTTCTTGTTTTATTATGCTTTATTTCCAGTTGTCAAACTGAAATGACTATGTCTCCATCCTAGTAACACTGTTAACAGTCTGTTATGGAAAAGGGGACTGGGGAACAAGTGTTGTTTAGGGCTGGTCTCAGTGTGACCGTTCATCAGTGACTGACGTGTGTGTAGCCTCGTCTGGCTCGGTGTCACCTTCTAGGGCGTGGAGGTTGTTTGTGTGATGAGTGGCCTGTTCGGTGTGAGGCTTCAGAAGTTACTTAAGAAGCCTCAGGACTTCAACTGCAGTTTCATTGGTTTTTATCTCAGTTTTTAGTGGCTGTTGTAGTTTTGTTTTGGTCTAAAGGACCTGCTTCGGTAAAGGTGAGTAAGTACTGCCCCCTGCACCGCCAAGACAGATTTCCTGTGTGGAGAGGGCTGGCTCAGGAGGGCTCTTTTCTAATAACCTAGGCCTCAGTATCTTTTGATTTTGTGTTTCTTTGTTTCTACTCCAAATTTAGAAATTTTCATTTACTCTAAAAAAAAAAAACCCACCAAAAAATGCATAAATATTTAACAGTTTCTGTCTTGATAAAATTTGGGATTTTATGGGTTTATAATGCCAATTTAAAACATAATATGCACAAAACTTACTATTTTAAATTAACATAAGCATTTTTAAAGGATTTTATTTTAGAACACAGTCTATGCAATCCTCTCAATCTGATTTTTTGGTAGGAGATTTAAGCAGGTAGATTAGTTCAAGACTCTTAAGCACGCCTCTCCCCACTTTGTCTCTGTAGCTCATCGTACATAAATGGTATTTTGGGTGATACGTAACAACTGATGACTCATCTGTCCTAAACAGTCATTTTCTAAACCTGGATTTCAATATCCTCAATATTTAAAATATTGATTCTTTAAAAAGATGTTAGCAGATGCAATGTGAGCGGATGCTAGTAGGTGCAGGGGAGTTAATTTGGAAGGTTGCATCTGTGTAGAAGTGATATGGGTATAAAATACGGAGTTTTTCCTTAGACTCTTCAATCTTATGAAGTCAGTAAAGTGCTCTTAAACCCATTTTCTTCTCCTGCAAAAGTCTGAAATGTGTTCATTGATGTAGTGGTGTACTTTAAATTGTATTTAGTTGACTTACCCCTCTTTTAAAAATATTTAGTCACCCTTGGAGGGAGGGATGTGGTTGGACAGAGTAAGTTCTCACTAGCTAATTGTTTTCTTACCCAATTTCTGATCTTTATAGAGCTGGGTTGTTGTTGGTGACGGTTTTTTTGTTGTTGTTGTTGCTGTTGTTTTGTTTTTTTTAACGCTGAATACAACAGGCTGGCTTGATCGGAGCCTTCTCTCCTTACTCTCTTCATTTATAAGGATGGTAGGAGAAAGGGACCTTCAGGTAAATGTGAAGTGAATAAGTAATATTGCTGGTAAATTAATAAGAATTATTCTTAGTGTTCATTCAGAGTTTAAGAAAATGTGAAAATGTTGTACTTTGTCTATTTTTACTGTAAATTTAAAAATCTTTTTGGTAGCATTACTTCACTGTTACCTCAGTTAAAGGTAAAGCCTATTATTTAAACTGTATTTACTGGTAAAAATCTTTGGTCATTCCCATTTATTGCTTATTTCTTTACTTTGATTTGCTTTAAACTTAGGAAAAAATTGTGTATTAGAGTGAGTTCTAGGAAATCCAAAAGTCTAGCTAGGGTAAAGTTCGTTTCAAAATTTACACAGATTTTTTTCACTACCAAGAAAATAAAAAAATTAAGTATGTTTAAGCTGAAATTTATTTTATTAACTTGGGTGCAGCCTACATTTGTGTGTGTGTGTGTGTGTGTGTGTGTATTTCTTAAGTGATTGTGGAAGCTCTAAAAATCTTTGTTTTGTGAGCCTGGTGATATTTTATGGTTCATGTGATATAAGATGCTTTTCAACTTGCATACCTTTTGTTGTGAAGTGATATTAAGGGTATTAATTGCTTTGTAAAAATGCTTGGCTGGTAATACCTCCTGGCATTTTGTGTTTATTTCATCACCTAATTTGAAAATCCAGCACTTGATAATATAATGACAGAAATGATTGTACCAGTGGATGAAGTAATGAAAATGAAGAAAAGGAAAAGATCCCTTCCTTCAATGGCATGAGTTATTTTTTTCCTTAAGTGGCATTTATGTAAGGTAGAAATACTATATATTAAAATTGGTAAAATTTGAACATTTCTCCTGTGTTGATTCTTAGACTATGAGAAGGGTCAGACAGAATGGTAATAGTTTTCAGTTTTGAAATTTGTTAAGTCAAACGTTTTGACGTTTTAACATTGTAAATTACTCAATACTTGCAGTCTCTGTATGTACATGAAACACCGTGCCACTCTGTCCAGCTTTGCCTCGGTGCCACTGGATTTAAGAAAGGACAGCTGTTTGGACCTCCATGAGCATTGCCTTCAATGCTGGGAACCTGGGAAGTGTTCATAGTAAACCTCTCAGCAGTTTGTGAACTGAAGTACCTGCAGACACCGTAGCTGTTCACCAAAATAGACTGGGTGTGTGGTACCATGGAGGTTATTCAGTAAAACAAAACCCAGACACACATACAAATTTATGTCACTTTATGTTAAGTAATATCTACAGGGGCACCTTTGATTTTGAACAGAATTGCAAGTAATGTGCTGACATATCCACCATATAATAGAAAATGTGAACTAAATATTTCTACCATCTTGTTTTTCTCCTCCCTTTTAAATTTTCCTTTTTTTGAGACGAGGACTTTATAATTTGTGGAGAAAGGAGAAAATCTTAAGGAGTCTGAGGCGGTTTCCTCTCATCATGACAGCCAGCACTGGCAGCCACTGGGCTGGGAGCTTTGTGTGGATGATTTCATCTTCACAGCATCGTAGTGAGTAGGTACAATCGCTTCTCTGTGTATAAACAAGAACACTGAGGGTGAAAGAGTCCAAGTCACATGTCTGTGGTCACGAATTAGGATTAAATTAGGTTGTGGGACTAGAATTTGAAACCAGGAAGTCCAACTCCAAAGCCTCCTCAGGATGTGCTCTGTGTGATTTTATAAGTTGGTCCATTACCATTCCACTAAAAAGCAAGGACTCTCAGCATCTTTTGCATTGTATTGAGTCATGAGGCTTTTTAAGTGTACTTAATAAGTTTTTGAACAGGTAATACATTCACATGGTTCAAAAACCAAAAAATAGAAAAAGTCTATAGTGGAATGTCTTCTTTGTATCCAATACTGCACCCCCTACCCCTGCCTCTCCCAAAAATAACTTCTGGTCTTGGTTTCTTATGTTTCCATTCATACTGTTTTAGGTACATAAAATTGGAATGTGAAGTCTTTTTTTCCTCATGTTTACATAAGAAGTGGCATCATATATATACTGTTTGGGTCCCCCCCGCCTACTTTGCAGACCTCCATGTCACTAGATAGCTTACTCTTTTTTTTTTTTTTTTTTTGGTGCAGGGGACTGCTTGGTATTCTATTATATGAACATGCAATCATTTAACCAATCCCCTATTAATGGGCATTTGGATAGTTCCCAGATCTTGTATATGTCATTTCACATGTATAGAATTACGCACTTGTAGAATTTGGGGATAAATGACCATATGTATTTGTAAGTTTGAAAGATTTTAGAACATTGCCCTCTATGGTGGGGGGAAGTGGCCAATTCCCACACCCACCTGTAATTCAGACAGTGCCTGCCCACCCACAGACTTACAGCACAGATGTTATTCAAAACTCCGATACCTGCCATTGTGATAGGCGCACAATCACATACCAATGTGCTTTACTTTGTATTTTTATTTCAAGAAAGGTTGGCTGAGTAGGGCAGAGTTTTAGCATGACCCATAATGTTAAAAGATTTTTTAAAGCTCTTCTATACATGTGAAATGACATATACATTTGAGCCATTCATATTTCCTTTGTGCTCTTTTGCTTATTTTTATAGTGTCTTGTTGATCTTTTCATGAACTTGTAGGAGTGCTTTATTGGTTAGAGATATTAGTTCTTTCACTGTAGTGAACTGAAAAGTATTTTTTCAATGTGTCTTTTCACTTTGCTTTTTTAGTGGTTTCTGGGCTTTAAGTCATGCTTAGAATGCCTTTTCATTCCACAGCAATAATTTACCAATATTTTCTTCTAGAACATTTATGGCTTAGTGTGTTTAAGTTTTTATTCCTTTGGAGTGTATCCCAGATGATTGCCCAGTTATTTCAGTATCATTTATTGAACAGTTTGTCCTTTCCTTTACCAGTGTGAGATGTTACATTTATCTCACCTAAAATCTCATGTGGACTTGGCTCTGTATTTGGGTTGTCTTTCTATTTCACTGGCCTAGTACCTGATGCACCATTACCTCACTGTTTTAATTACTCAGGGTTTGTGTTCTAGTATCTGGTTCTTTGGTCCCAGCTCATTTCCCTACCTCCACTTTTTTTTTTTTTTAAACGATTTTCTTTAGCTGTTCTCGTTTATTCCATATGAGCTTTAAAAAATCTTTTAACATTATGGGTCATGCTAAAACTCTGCCCTACTCAGTGTTTTAAAGAAGCATTGCATTTTTAACTGCTTAATGTGTCCCTTTTCTAATTTGACACTTTACCTGATAAAGATCTTTTTACTGCCTGTTGTGTTATTTCCCATGAGGTAAGGGCAGAGAGGCAAGACATGTCATGCCTATATACACAGAATTTTATCTCGTTGCTTCTATTTTAAGACTTAGCTTCTAAGACTATTTTGAGAACTATATATAGAATCCTTATTTCCTTTTTATTCCAGTATGAATTCTTTGTCCAAAAGTTGGGTGTTTGTCAGAGTCCTAAGAAAACACAAGTGGGCCCTTAAATGAGTGTTATACCTGTTCGTCAGCACATGTGGCTAAAAGTGCAGGTGCAAGGAGTTAGTTTACAGACAATGTCACCGAAGAGCAGGGTCTGACTGCACACACTGTTCTAGGAGTTGGGGATGTGAACAAAACAGACCAGTATCCTTGCCTGCGTTGAACTAGGAAATTCTGTAGCGTAACTAGGTTCCACCTAGTTTAGCGAGATGCACCCAGAGAAGAGTCAGTCTATCACCTGAGGAGGAGCAGCTAACACAGAAGCAGTTCCAGTGGAGAGGTGCCCTCCTTGTGAATGGATCTTAGCGTCTACTTGATGATGCCATCCAGGTGTCACAGATTGATTGAAATCGTCCACCTAACAACCCTGGTCAGAGCAAAAGGAGCATTCACCTTGCTACGTTCTGACATAATTTAACTTCCCACATGGAGTTCCTTCCCCACATATTTCCCTAAGTGGTAAATGTCCTACTCCCTTGGACAGGTTAGTCTGCAAACCTGATGCCCAGACCCTGGGGCAGTGAATTCACCAAGGGTACTCAGTGACACCAGTGGAATGGCCCTGGTCAAACAGTTTGCTTATCCTAAATACACCCTTTGTATACCTCAGTTAATGCCCTCCAGGACCACCTTGACTTGGAACTGTAAAGAGACAGAGGAGCTGTTGTAGGGTAACCAGGTTCCTGGGGAAGTGAGGCTCAGAGCCAAGAAAGGCCACAGATCTAGCTGGAGAGAGCAGGCATCTGAGCTCTAGTTGCGACTGTGCTCAAGTTCACAGGCAGAAGCTCTGTCCTGGAGACAGTCTGAGGTTCTGAGTGGCAGGGCAGTCCAGGTCCAAAGGGCAGGCCAGGTTTGGAGGCTACAAAGTTAATGTTGACAAGGTGTAATTATTGCCAGGAAAACAAAGGACAGGTCCCAGCCACGGGTCAAGGAGTCCGGCTTTGGAGGAACCAGGCAGACACCCTTTAGGAGTTGCTGAGTCACTGGATTTGGATCTGAGGACTCTGAACCTCGACTTGATCTGGGCAGAAGTCTCCAAACACCCCGCACTGCATGAACCCCACCAGTGCCCAGGCCCAGAGGAGCTGGTGACAGGTTCAGGAAATCATCAGAGATGTAGTTGGGAGCACAGGGACATCATTAGCAGACTTCAAGGTATTTGGACCCTTTGGTGCAAGGGCTCTTCCTACTTCTCTGCTAAGGGCCAAAAGGAGGTTTACTGTCAGGGTACTGCTGAATTTGCAGACTGGACCCATGACATGTGACAAGTACCAAGCCCAGTGTCCATCATATAATAGGCACTTAGTAGACACTGACTGAATTTCACTCCATCATCCTCATTGTCCCTTTCTAAATAAATGTTTCCTCTCTTTAAATCAGCTCATTGATAGTCTTCAATGAGAATTCCTCTATTTGCCTAAGGCTTTTCAACAGCACCTCCATGTGGACTGTGAGAAGTCTGAAATAGCATTATTATGCAGTTAGAAATGTTTTCAATTAATAAAATTCTCATGTGGAATAAAAGACAGAAATGCATTATCAGCTGTGTCTTCAATCAGACCCCACTAGTATACATTGTACCACGCTGCAGTGACAGGTTGTGATCTAAAGTGGAACAAGGTTTTTTTTTAAACCAAGTTTCTTCCATTGGAAATCTTGACAAAGTTTAAAATATTTAGACCCATTTACTTGTAAGTTCACCTTCATTGTTAAAAGCAATATTCTAGTGATATCCATGAGGTAACTGAGAACTGTTTTCTCAGAGCACTTCTCACTCTCGGGTATGCTAATGCTTAGTCCTCTCCTCTCAATAGGGGTTAAATGCTCAAGGCCACAGAAAGCAGTTTTGGGGGATTTTGGTAAAAGAATCTGGGAGTGTACTAGAGACTGTGCCTGACCTTTGCAGCTGAACGTGGTAACCCAGTTAACGTGCCTGACACGCCCACGTGGGAACTGACCTGTGATTGATTGCAGATTGTAACACAAAATTTATTCCACAGCTCTGGATGTAACACACTCTGGACACTTTAATCATCAGCTCAATTAAATGGGTTAATTGTAAAAATGAGAAAGAGGTGATGAAAGATATGTATACAAATCAGTCAGAATTCTCAGGAGTCCACCCTGCAATTGGCTGTTCCTCAGAATTCCAATAGCTGCACAGAAACCTTGAGAGGCAGCTGTTTAGTGTGGAATCAGGCTGGGATAAGTGACAGTACAAAATGTACAGGGATGCTGACTCTTCCCCACACATTCTTAACTTTAATTTCCTCATGTGTGCTTAAACAAGAGGACATCTGGGGACTTTAGGACCAGTAATCGCCATCCCTTGCCTTTACTATTCCACGTAAGGAATCGCTTTGTTAGTGTGCTTAGCAGCACAAGCAAATTAGGAAGCTGAAGAAATTTTTAATTTTCTCTTTCATCCAAATCTGCCACATTTCACAGGATATATATGACTGACAACATGCTACAAGAGAAAAATAGTTTGATACGTAGTTCTTAATATTCTAGATGTGTTTCATGTTCTAGATGTGCTTTAGCGTTACTTTTTTAAAAAGGGGAGAAGAGAAAAATAGGCACTTAGAACATTTGTATCCTTTCCAATAAAAAAGAACAGTTCAAATAAATACTAGTAGATTTATCACAAAAAGAGATTATGGCTTTTACCAGTAAATGCTGAGTATTTCGATTTTCTTGCCAGTAATAACCAAGTATTTATCATAGGATGAATACATTAATTACATCGTTTTAGCGATATTTTTATCACTGTATTCTTTAAAAAAATCTCTACCTTTGAATGAGCCAACGTGAACAACGGCAGTACTTCCTGAAAGCCTGGTTTAAAGGAGTTCTGAGCATATGCCGACTCTGCCTGTAAATTCCCCTAAGGATCAGTAACAGACCCGTGACAAGTAAGGGTGTTCTTAGAGCTATTTAGATTAGCAACTTCTACCTTAGGGCAACCTGAATAATCAGTGCAAATTTTGCTTCAGTGTAGAACTTCCCCTGGAGTAACTATTTTAAATGATGTGTGACTCCAGTTTTCCCATATACTGAAAGGCAAGGAAGAGGGGTTACGCAGAGAAAAGGTGTTCCGTGCAAATGAAAACCCAGTCATGACCTGTTTTAAACTTGAGATCCCAGTTTGTAACCCTTTTGAGAAAAGAGAAGTGGACTTGCTCTCTGTGAAATCAGTGCCCAGAGATAACTCATTCCTGAAGGCCAAACGTCGCAGAGGCAGGACTGACGGAGGATACCGAGTTCCGTCCACCTCCCCGAGCAGCGCGACTCCGGGCGGAGTCTGTTCTCTGCTCGCCGTGCTTCCTCTAGCACCTCATTTCTCTTCAGTCTCCCCAAAGAGCCACAGTCCCCTATCACGGGCACCCTGACAACTGCAGGATATACAGAGAGATGAGGTGTTGGAGTGGCACTCGTGGCTGGAGGACCAGTATTTCCGGCCTCATTCCACTCCAAAGACAGCGCAGCAGCAGTTGCCGCGAGCGCCCCCTCACGCAACTGAGAGGCTGGGCGTCGGCTCCTGCCACGTGAGGCACCGCTTCCCGCGCTACGTTCAAAGCTACTGAAAGACACAGGGCACTGTTTTCAATGCGGTTGGAAATTAAGAGAACGCTGTCAGGATTCCACATAGCCTTGTGGCTCAAGGGCCCGGGGTCTCCCTTACTGATCCCCTTGGAGAGCCTTTCCATGTTCGGAGCCAGGGCGGTGCGTTCCCGCCGCGGTCCCGAGGTAACTGCACTTCACTGAGCTGAAAGCCTACGCAAACTCTCTGAAGGGAGCGGAGGAGGTTTAAGAGTGTAAGTCAACACCATCCACACCTTTAACATCGTCATTGAGTGTGTACATTAGCGGCCTCCTGAAAAGAGTACCAAACTTTTGGCAAAATTGGGATTCTTGGAGGGACCGGCTATCTGGGTTTTAACGAACTCTGAGGAGCCAGTGAGCCCATGTGTAGCCTGTTGACATTCTGCTAGTGTCACTCTCACCACCGGAGCCGTGTGAAGAGGCCACCGGCGCGGAGCTCCGGATCTGAGCGACTGAAGAGGTAAGGGTTCCAGGAATGCTTTAGTCCAAAAGCCGTAGCAAGCCCTCAGACCATATACTGTTTACTTTTAAAGTGAGTTATGCATAAAAGTCTGTGCAAACTATAACATATTGCAATAACATTCTCAAAAAATCCTAGTATATTTTAGCATTACTATTTAAGTTATATAAAATACATTTTTATAAAAGTATGGAGTTTTTAAAGTTTAAATTATACCCACTGAAATAGGCAGCCAGGCTCCCTTTTTAGTACTAAACTAAGGTTTTGTCAATCTAAAATTTAGATTCTAAATTACTGCTTAGTCCTATGGAGCCATTAGAAACCTGTAACAAATAAAAGTCCTATTTCTTAAGGAAAAGTGCCCTAAAGAGTCAGTTGTCGTTAAGTTAGTCTTCCTGAAGCTTTCCACGTGAGGAGCCTTCCAGAAGCCGTTCACTGGTGCTGCCCATGGCTGGGTTTGTCAGGATCCAAACTGGAGTCTGGTGGTAGAGTTCCTGCTGGTACCAGGAAGTTGTTAGCTTGTTGTCCCCAATCATAGTAGTCTGGAGCAAAACTTAAAAAGAAAGAGGTGTTTCAGTGAAACATTATGCTTATTATTGATAACATGTCTGCTTTAGGTAAACAGCACTGGGATTCTATATAAACTACTGACAATTCCAAGGTTTTTTAAGGCAGCTTCTTGAAGCACATTTTTTCCACAAAACAGCGCTACATGTAATGGCTAGGATTCCACTTGCCAAAGTCTACTGAACTCTTCAGAGCCCACAAGTACAGTATTACTAGACCCATACACCAATCATGATGTGTAACAAAATGTGCTGGCAACAAACTGCATCTGAATCCTAACGCAGAGCGCCTATAATTCCCTACCTGCATGCCTTGGACAGGTAACCTCTGTGCCTCAGTTTTATCATCTGTGACTACCTTGTTGGGCTCTTTTGAGTTAATACCTATAAATTACTTAGAACAGTATTTTAACATACAGTTAGCACTCAATAATGTGCAGTTGTTATTACTTCTCTCTGTCTGTGGAGGGACAGAGGTCTTTCCTTCCTCCATGTAGGCAGTGAGGACTCAGCTCTCTTGCTCCCGGCAAGAGAGGCCGCACACAGAGGAACAAACAGGCAAGCGAAAAGTGCCACAGTGTGACTGGTAAGGGGACAGTTTTAGGGAAAAGAGTCAGGACAACTTTGAACATAGGGGTGCCCTTGTTTATGGGCTCACTTCCAGATAACTCACTTCCCTACACTTGGGATGAGTCAGCTTTGCTTTTGCCCAAGCACCATCTTTTGTCTCATCTGACCAGGACCTCTGCCACCTGGTCCACTTAGGCAGCAATGTGTTCTCCCAGCTCTTCCTCTGCTCCCCAGCCCCTAAAACAAGGCCCTCTCAGAGCTTTTCTAAGGTTTTCTAAGGACTTTTACATCTTCTCTCCTTCCATTTCCTCCCAGAGGGAAAGGGTTTAGGGTAAATTGTTAATGATAGGTCTTTAAATCCACAAAGGACTGCCTACAATCAGCTTTCACTTCTAAGTGGCCTGAAGCTTCCCTCCCACTGGAACAGTGCAGGGTCCTGGGACACCAAGCATTGGTTGGCCCGTTGTCCTCCCCTCACCCTGTTGGCCTCAAAGTCCCAGAGGCACAGGGCAGAAGCGGGACAAGATGATCGCTGGGCAGCAGTGTGTGGCCGAAGCATCAGAGGGCTGAGAGAAGGGGGAGGGAGCCGCAGGGGCTGCCACCCTGCTGTCTGCAGACTGTGCTGGTGGCCTGGCCCCAGTAAGAAGCACCTGGCCCTGGTAAGGAGCAGATGACCCCAGGAGGGGCTGTGCTCTGGCTGCAGGTCATCTCACAGGCAGCTTTCTCGCCCACTGCTGGTTTCAGAGCTCCCATGCAGGCAGTTTTTTCTGTTGGAATACGTTTCACTGGGGCCACCGTCACCACGCCACCTCACCCCAGCGAGGAGCTTACCTTCCCTGAAGTCCCTGAGGGGCAATGTTCCAGGCAAGGTCATCATCGCTGTCATATCTTCGGGGGTTGTCAAAGAAGTAGGATCTGGGGCTGAACCCATGGCTAGGGACCATCCCAGGACTGGTCTAGAAAGACAGCTACAGGGTTAGTACAAGTTCAGACCCCGGGCCTCCCACTAGCCAAAGAAAAACAAGACCTCTTGCAAGAGACACAAGATGCTCTCCTCTGGACAGAACTCCCTGTCAGGTGCAGTGTTCATTTTACTTGCTTTTATTTTAAGAGGCTCTGTTTCTTTTAGTGTGAACAAAAATCTTCTTTCAGAGCTCTGCTGACAACAATGAATTCTCAGAGTATTAATCCCTTAACGAAAAACCAGACAACAAGCAAATGAGCCAGGCTAGATGGTCCCTCATTGGATATAAACCTGTACAATAAGGCAGGCATTTACAACAATTTAAAATAATGAAATAATAATGATGAAATAATTTTGAAAAAGTTATCAGTTTCCACACCCTGCCTCTGTAATTATTTCATCCTGTTTCTGTTCCCAAGCCAAGTTTAGCTCTCAAAAAATTTCAAATGACTGACTTCAAGTAGGCAGATCAGAACTACATGATATGGCAAGCCAAATCTGGCACAGAACCCAGCAGTTGTCTGACATCCTTGTATATGTCACAGCGGTCCATTTAAAAGGTAACTACCAGACAACGAATCAAAGTCCTTATGAGAGGGTTTCTATATGTGAATTCCTGCTTTTCTAAGACAAATCCACCAAATATGAGAAGCAAAGTGGAACTTACACAAGGTGTGATGCCTTATAATTTACTATTTGTAGCAGTTCAGGAACACCTACGCAAAAGAATGAAGCTTGACCCTTACCTCATCTAAAAAGTAACTCAAAATGGACCAGAGACCTAAATGTAAGAAAAAACCATAAAACTCTTACAAGAAAACACAGAGACAAATCTTCATGACCTAGAATTTGGCAAAGAATTCTTATAAAATATGAAACAGCACAAGCAACAAAAGGAAAAATGAATTGGATTTCATTACAATTAAAAAGTTTTGTTCTTCAAAAGACACCATCAAGAAATTTAAAAGACAGCTTACAGAATAAGAGACAATATTTGCAAATCATATATATACCTGACAAGGATTCACATCTGAAATATGTGAAGAACTCTTACAACTCAATTAAAAGACCACTCAATTTAAAAATAGGCAAAGGCTCTGAAAAGACATTTTTCCAAGAAAGCCAATAAGCATGTGAAAGGTGCTTGACATCATTAGTCGTCAGGGAAGCCATGTGAAATAGCCTTGTATGGCCGTCAGGTCGTCTAACAGCAAAGAATCAGGTAACAAGTGCTAGAGAGAATGTGCAGGACCCAGAACCTTCACACATGACCACTGAGTGTGAAACAGTACGTCCTCTATGGGGAGGAGTCCGGCAACTTGTCAGAAAGCTAAACAGAGTCACCAGCAGCTGTACTCCGAGCTATATCCCCAAGAGAAATGAAGCCATGTTCACTCAGAAACCTGAACATGAATGTTCACAGTGCACCATTATTCACAACAGCCAAAAAACAGAAACAACCCAAGTGTCCATCAATGGATGAAGGGTAAACAAGATACAGTATATCCATACAGTGGAATATTACGCACCCATAAAAAAAAAAACAAATGAAGTCCTGACATGCTATAATGTGGATGAATCCTGAAAATATTATGCGAAATGAAAGAAGCCAATCACAGAAAACTGCATATGACATGACCCCACTTGCATGAAAGTTGCAATGGGAATTCCATAGACAGAAGGTAGATTGCGGGTGGGCTGGGGTTGGGGAGGGGATGGGGGTGAGAGATAAAGGGTGCAGGGTTTCTTTGTGAAGTGATAAAAGTGTTCTAAAAACTGGCTATGGTTGCACATATCTGAACATACAAAAAAACCACTGGATTGTATACATGTATTATGTGAATTGTATGGTATGGGAATTATATCTCAAAGCTGTTTATACAAAAAAAAATATGGAGAGAGATTCTCAACCTTTATCCCAGAGATTTTGACCTGAGACCAGGACATGGCCTGAGAATCATGCACCAAGCACCTCGGTATTCTGATGTGGACAGCACAGCCGCACTTTGAGCGCACCGTCAGGTGTAGAGGCTGGTTCATACCCACTGAATTATAGGTAGATCACATTTTAAAGAAATGTCCCACCTGTAGTGTCTTTTCCGGAAAAGCACACCTGTAGTGTGCCCTTTTGAAATTGATGAGTATGAGTTAAGTCATAAATTTCCCCCTAAGGATCTTAGGCTACTTTTCCTCCCAGCAATTACAGATGTACAGTAACAGCATTATTGTTGAGTCATACATACAGCAGGTCCTGCAATGAATGACACTTGTTATAAAGTTGCTGAGAGGCCACAGGAACTTCTTTCTTGTTTATATCAAGCAGCCAATGATTAAACTGCTTTTGTTATACTTCGTTCCACTTAAAGTCCTGGAAGCTCTCGGAAACGTTAATCGAGGACTTGCTATATTAGGAATTTAGTTTCTTCTCCAAACCTTACAATGCCAAAGAAAGCCACATGATAGCGCAAGAATTAAAATCATGGCCTTAAGAGCAAGACCAGCTTGCTTAGAATCTGGGCTCTGTCCCCTACTTGCCATGCCACTTCAAGCCTCAGTTTCCTCATCTGAGAATGAGCATAAAAAGAAGACAGAGTCAAGGTGGCAGAGTAGGTAAACGCTGACCTCACCTCCTCTCATTAAACCACATCAGAATTACACTGAACCAGCAATCCCCAGCCTTTTTGGCACCAGGGACCAATTTTATGGAGGACAATTTTTCCACGGACCGTGGGGGAAGCGGGTAGGAGGGTAGGATAGGAGCTTTGCTGGCTTGCAGCCTACCACCTGCTGTGTGGCCTGGTTCCTAATAGGCCATGGACTGGTACTGGTCCTTGACCCAGGGGTTGGGGACCCCTGAACTAAACTACAGAACCACCATCACTGAGGACCACCTGAACACTTGGGAACAGAAGTCTTACAACTAATGATATGAAGAAGCAGCTACGTCAAGACAGGCAGGAGGGTCAGAGACATGGTCCCACACCCACACATGGTGATTAATAAACGGGAGAAATAGCTCAGCCGCAGAGGCCCCCCAGGGGAGCCAGTGGTCTAGGGGACCCCACCTGGGGCTCTTGTGCTGGGAAGAGGTGCCCATAACATCTGGCTTTGATGACCAGCAGGATTATGTCCAACCAGAGACAAAGGGCTGGGGGAGACAGACACTGCTGCTAACAAGCTCACATACGAACTCCTGGCTCCAAGCTCCAGCACAGGGCAGCAGCTTGGAGCCAGGAGTTGGTGTGTGAGATGAATGGGACATACAAGGAGGAGGAGGAGGAGGAGGAGGAGGAGGGAAGGAGGGAGAGGGGTCAGGGGACTCTCAGGACAGAGTGCTGGCAGACACTGTTGTTCCTTTATTAGCTCTCCTCCCACCCAGCTGGCCCGGGACAAGCAGGTACAAAATCTGTAGCTCTCCATTAACCTACTAACACTGGTCACCCCGCCCCCACATTTCCCTGAGCTCTCCCCTCACCCATTCTCTCTCCCAGCCACAGCCTCTCCCAGTGGCTGCAGACCCTCCACAGAACAGTGGCCTGTCTTAGTCCACACTGCAGATTCTCCCAAAGTCCACAAACCCCACATGAAGGGGCCAGCCCTGCTGCGCATTGTAACTCGCACCAAGTAGACCCAAGACAAGCACAAGTGGTAGCAGGCCTCTGCCCACACTGGAGCCCTCCCCAACAGGCTTCAGAACATACCAGCCCTGGCCCAGGTGGCTCCATAACCAACACACCTGACAGTTGGCCTCAGCTAGCACCAGAGCCTCCCTACAGCAACTCCCACACCATGGGGCCTGCCCCTGCACAACCACTCCCCCACTATAATCACAGGCAGCCCTCAGTCACCCTGCCTGAGGGTCAACACCATCCCTGATGGGCCAACATCTATTGAGGCCCAACTACAACAGGAGGACACACGCATATCCACACAGGAAACACCCCTAGAGCACCAGGGTCAGCTGACCAGGGGAACTGTGCCCCTGGGCCCTACAGGACACCTTCTACACAAGGCCGCTCTTTCAGGAATAGAGGCGAAGCAGATCTACCCGATACACAGAAACAGTCAGCCAAAATGAACCAACAAGAAAACATGTCCTAAATCAAAGAATAGCATACAACTCCAGAAAGAGGACTAAAAGACAAGCAATGAAATGAAAGAGAAGTGACAACCAACACCACTGAAACAGAAAGGATCATCAGAAAATACTACAATTATATTCCAACAAAGTAAACAACGTGAATAATCCTAGAAACATTAAATTTTCCAAGACTGAATCAGAAAGAAACAGAAACATACTGATAACTGCTAAGGAAACTGAAGCAGGAATCAAGAACTCCCAACATAGAAAATTCCTGGACTACATAGCTTCACAGATGAATTTTACTGAAACTTTAAATACGAATTAATACCTACCCTATCAAACCATTCCAAAAAATTCAAGAGGAGGGAAGGCCCCCACACTCATTTTTAGAGGCCACCATCACCCTGATACCAAAACCAGAAAAGGACATTACAAATAAAATTATAGGCCAATAATCCTAGATGAACATAGATGCAAAAATCTTCAGAAAAATATTAGCCCAGCAATACAGTATAAAGATCATACACCATGACCAAGTGAGATTTATTCCTGGGATGCAAGGCTGGTACAATATTTACAAGTCAATTAACATGATCACCACATAACCAAAATGAAGGATGTAAATCATACGATCATATCAATAGGTGCAGAGAAACATTTGACAAAATCCAACATCCATTTATGATAAAAACTCTCAGCAAAGTGGGAATAGAGGGATCGTACCTCAACATAATACAGGCCACATATGATAAACCCACAGCCAACATCACATTCAATGGGAAAAAGCTACAAGTGTTTTCCTTAATAACAGGAACAAGACAGGGATGTCTGCTTTCACCTGTCATTCAACATAATACTGGAAGCCACAGCCACAGCTACCAGACCAGAAAAAGAAACAAAAGGCATCCAAATTGGAAAGGAAGAAGGAAAACTGTCATTATTTGAAGATGACATGATACTATATGGAGAGAACCCTAAAGATTCCACCAAAAACTCTAGAACAGATAAACAAACCCAGGAAAGTAGCAGGACACAGAATTCATATTCAGAAATCGGTTGCATTTCTATACACCAATAATGAACTTTGAGAAAGAGAAATTAAGAAAACAATGCCCTTTACAATTGCATCAAAAGCATAAAGTACCTAGGAATATATTTAACTAAGGAGGTAAAAAAGCTTGTACTCAGAAAACTGTAACACACTGAAGAAAGAAACTGAAGATATAAACAAATGGAAGTATATACCATGCTAACGGATAAGAAGCACTAATATCATTAAAACGTCCATACTCCCCAAAGCAATCTACAGATCCAATGAGGAGGGGTTTGGGGTCTGACTGGACAGAAGCCTCCAGTGTTCCCAAAGCACCTAGAGGTCAGACAACAATAATGAAAGGGATTATGAGATAGAGCAAATGTTGCCCTGGACCAGATGGCTTCACAGGTGAATTTTACCATTCAAAGAAGGACCCATTCTCTATCAGTGTTCACCACCTGCTCACTCCTGTCTCACTTTTTTCCTATTCTTGGCTCATTAGTGACTATCCAGAGATGAATAAGAAAAATACAAAACAAAGTACAACAGAGTGGTTCTCATGTATTTGCTTTCCTTACCACCCACATTTTGCTAACATGTACAAAAACCACACATTCTTTATACTTCCTCAAGGATTTCATACACCAGTCTAATTTATGGAGCAAAGCTCCTGGAGCATCCTCACTGCCAGGTTTTGCTTTTTCTGTTCCACCCTCACAAAGACCTTCATGTAAAGTCGACTGAGTAGAAATGTGACTGGATAGGGGAGTAGTTTTAGTAATCTTTGTTTTCACAATGTTTTTAATTCCCTATCACCTCATTCAGCACAAGATAGGGATAAAGAACTGAATTTACCACTTTCTATTGTCCTTTGCTAAAAATAGAAGCTTACAGATTCACTTCACAGCAAGTCAAGCCTCCAACACTACTGAGGCTGTTGCCTATCAGGAAAAGTAGTTAATCGCTCTCTCCAGGCCCTGAGATGCAACTATTTCATTTCTTTTGTAAAAAATGAAACTAAACTGTAAAACACATGTCCCTCAAGAGAATCAAGGGAGACACCAGTTTCAATTAAATAAGGGAACTAAAAAAAAAAAAAAAAAGATTTATTTATTTATTTATTTTTAGGTAGAGAGGAAGGGAAAGAGAAAAAAGAGGGAACAAAACATCAATGTGTGGTTGCCTCTTGCACACCCCATACTGGGGACCTGTCCCGCCACCCAGGCATGTGCCCTGACTGGGAACTGAACCTGCAAACCTTTGATTCACAGGCCGGCGCTCAATCCACTGAGCCATACCAGCCAGGGAAAATATGAGAACTTTTTATATCACAACAAGATGGAAGAGGCTCTCGACCGAAAAAATCTAAGAAAAAATTCCAACAGTATGTTTGTGATTGGAATTAGGCAATAACTTCTGCAAATATAAAATGGTTTACTCACAAGGTCCCTTGCAGGATTCCTAACTCGGAAGAAGTAGACGACTAAGGTGGTGGGCAGGAGCTCCCACACGAAAAGGACGACTCCGAACACGATGTAGCCGGCGTCTCCCAGCTGGTTCTTCAGATCCGCCTGCGGGAAGAGGAGGCAGCGGGGTCAGAGCTGAGGGCAGAGGGACTTGGTTAGACTCGGTTCCTCCTACTGCAACCAGAGACCAACTATGATGTAATGTTGGTCTGTAACCTTCCTCCTAAAATGTGTGGGCTGAGGCCAGGTAACATGGGGTTGGCCGAAAAGTCCGTTTAATTTTTTCTGTAAAATGAGACACATTTTTCATTTTTACCAATAACTTTATTGACTTTGTTATTTTGGGTATATTGGCTATCTCCCATGTGGTATAACGTTGATTGTTCTCAAATAATGTCTCCATTTCATCTTTATCAACTTTAACTGGTCTACCTGAGCATGAAGTACCATCCAGCAAGAAATCTCTAGCACGAAACTTCACAAACCACTTTGACACGTTCAATCAGTCACAGCACCATCTACATACACTGCACAAATCTCTTTTTGCATTTGTGTTTTTACCTTTCTCAAAATAATGAAGCATAATAGGCCAAAAATGTTGTGTATTTTCTTCTACCTTCAATATTAAAATGACTACACAAAAATTCACCAATTTTGATTTTTTTAAATGCACACTGACATGACAGCTGACACAATACATTCTAACAAAATTGTTTCCAATGAAGTTAAAGACAACTAGGCGCTACTACAGCCATCTTACGAAAAAAAACTGAACGTACTTTTTGGCCAACCCAATACGAATGGTCCTGACCACAGGTCCTCCTCTTCAAAATTGCTGCTCTCTAGTGTTTTAATACTTCCCCTCCAAATTCTTCCTTATGTCCACATGGACTCCCAAACTGAAGCTGATCGTCTTTTCTTCACCAATTAAGTAACAAGAATATGCTGCCTTCTGCGAAAGTCTTGAGAGAAGCATGTAACTGTTACCCTTCGTCTCACCCTGGGATAAACAGTCTTTGAACTTTTCTTCACAGTAGCCTTGTCCTATCCTTTACTCTTTATAGCTCAGTGTAGTCAAGACTGTTAGAAAACACTTCTCAGTGTTGAGGATACCAGGCTTCTGGACCAGAGCAGTGGCCGAACAGCCGCGGGGTGGACGTTTTGTCCCTGTGGGCGGACGGAAGGCATGTGGGGGAAGTGCAGGTGGGTGTTTGGGCAGCTCAACCAGGAAGACCATCATTTAAAAACCAGTGCGCCAAAATCATGCCATGAAGTGTCAGCCACCTAAACTGAATCGTTTTCCTTCGCTGTCACAGCGTAGTTAAGTACAGGAACCAAAAAAAGCCATGTACTTTTCAGAAATTCTCCCTCTCACATTCCATCTGTGACATGTCTCAACATGTTGTCCTACACGAATGGCATGCACAACTGTGGCCCTGCCTTGTTCCCAGGTTCCACTGGGTGCCACACGCAGGCCTAGATGTCTGTAAGCAAAGGGTCCCTATAAAAAATAGAATTTTTAAAATTGCAACCATATTTTAAATTTGTTGTTAGCTTTTCCGTGAAATAATAATTGAAGTAATCATTTTGTTAAAACCAAATATGCTGTTTAATGGGTGGAGAGTTTCAGTCTGGGGAGGTGAGAAAGTACTGGAGATGTCAGTGGTGACAGCTGCACAGTGTCACTGCGCTATAGCCAACAGAGCGTTAAAAAAGTAAATTTTTTATTTTTCTTTAAAAAGCCTTTCTGTATTATGAGTATCATGTTTAAAGTTCATATTTTTATATATTCAACATTCTCAACATGGGGCACACTTCAGCAGAGCCTTGCCCAGTGTCCTCCCATCCTGTGTGTGCTGTTGGTCTGGGTTGGCGGGGGGGGGTTTGTATTATTGTTTTAATCTTTTCTACCTATAACACCTCGCTGTGCTTCTTCTGAAGACATTCTGTCCTCACAGGTTAACTCATCAAGGTCACTTCCTTCTTCCCCCATAACCCTCATCCAAGCCAGGTTCTGAGTGCTGCTGGGGATTTCAGACACGGATGAGTATGCAGTTGGGTATTCGATGTTTTTCCAGGAAAAGCAAAGGAGCCTTTGCAATCCAACCCAATAGACTCTCTTCTGGAAGTTCTATTTCCTCATTAAAATGGCATCTCTGGTTTCTTTCCCTCGGGGACATCAATGTCCTACAGGGAGGGAGTCAGCTCACTTCCGTGTCCCCAGCACTCTGTCTGAGGCCAGAGACCGGAATCAGTATTTGTCAACTGAGAGAATGCCAGCTCATTATCATTCCTTTTTTTCTGAGCTTTTGTGAACCTGAAAATGCCAGTTAACATTTCACTACCTTTGATCATTTACTTTATAATTTATGACCTTTCTGAATATATTAGGAAGGGAGGGAGTATCCCATTGAGACCACAGGTAAAATGAGCTTTTCTAGCACTTTCACATCCTCGCCCTTTCCTCTAGATGTCTTCAAATGCCGTTGGTGTTCCCGCTCTATCAAAAAAGATTCTTGTAACTTCCTAGTTTCATGTACTTTCTGAAACCTAAATATAATCTGTTTTACCTGTATAAATTTCACCCTTTAGTAAGACCATTTACATGTATATGGAAGCACTTAAAAATTTTAAGGCTTCTTGACAAGAGCCCCCAGGAAGTGAAAAGGAGAAAGGAGGGGGGGTGGGGGGTGTGTGTGGGGGTGTGTGTGTGTGTGTGTGTGTGTGTCCATCCGTCCGTCCTGGTTTCGCAGATTACGTGCGCTGGCGCACCAGGGGCTACAATCCCATTTGACAGACCAGGAGGCAGACCCCACATACGTGAGTGGCTCTCACAGTGGCCCAGCTATTTAACAGCAAAAGCAAAGAGCTTCAAACTCTCTGCCACCTTGGGTGCCACAAAGCAAAGAGGGACCAAACCACCCTGGTGATACCTTACAGCACCCACTGACCTGGTCTGACACATTGTACCAGTCGTAATCAAAGGAGTGGACATTCGTGCTCTGAGAAAAGGACAAGGTGAACAGGTTGTAGCAGGCCCGGGAGGTGTACAGCAAGATGACGGTCACACCGACAGCGGTCACCTGACACACGGAGGAGCCCTGGAAAAGTGGGAGCTGTGAGGGACACGCCCGCTGTAGGTGTGGGCACCGGCCTCCTCCCAGAACACCCTGCGCCTGCCCCCCGTCAGGACCCTCCCCTCAGGCCTCAGACCCCACACCGTGCAGCCCTCCTGAAATTGCAGTGTCTTCACGGAGATGCTTTAAAGCCAGGGCTTTGATTTGGATGTTCCTTTAACAGGCTACAAATGTGGGCCATTTCCCTGAGGCCTGGGCTTGTAAGAACAAGACAGTCAGAAGGCTTTTTTGTGAAATCTCCAAGGGCCACCACCAGCTCCAAGAAGAGCCTTTGAGCCCAGCACCTGCCTCTGGTCTGGGGACAACCAAACACGCTCCGGGGGATGGTGGCCTGGCGAGAGCCAAGCAGATGTCAGCAGCTCCAGGCAGGGAGCGCGTCCTCAACACCCAGCATCTGCCAGGCTGTAGGATGGGGCCCCGGTGGGCTCTGGGCTTGGAGCAGGTAGTGACCAGTGACTGGGACCCCGACTATGAAGCTGTCAATTTCCAAAGTCAGTCAGAGGACCCCCAGCTAGACACAGTTAAAAAAAACTGAAACTCATATCTGAGTTTTGCATTTGGAAGTCACTAACTCAATCCAAGTAATTTAATTCTGCCAGCAACCATTTGTTAGCTTGTTTGCTGTGGGAGATACCCCAATGGTATCAGACCATTTAAAACTTAACCTTCCTCTTAAACCCACACTTCTGTTTTTAAAGGCCTTGGATAGCCTCTACTTGGGCAACAATATAAATAACAGAGAAAGTTAAGAAATATCAAGTTTAAAATATCAAATTTATAGATGAAAAACTAGTCTGCTACACTAATTTTCAGGATTTTGAAAGAGTTCAGCCAGTTCACAGGGGGCTCTGATTAAGGCTTTGTATTTTGAAGTTAGAGGCACAGATTTGAACCCATCAGTCACTGAAGAAACAGTGCTGAGGGAGACAGAGCTGCCCCACAGACAGATGGGCCACGTTCAGGGGAGGCAGACCAGGGTACGGCCCAGGACACGCGGCCACGGGATCCCAGGGGAAGAGGCACTGGAGACCACTCAGCGTTTCTCCACATGTGAGAACCAAGCCAGAGACCAAGCAACGCGGGGCAGGGGTGCTGCAGTCCGCGAGCACCTGGCATCCGCTCCCCGCCCTCCACCCTCGGCTAGGCTTCTCGACAGAGGCAGAGCAGAGAATAGGCTGGTCGGGGTGCTGGACACCCAGCCCAGGAGGCCTGTCAGCCCCTTTCCATCCCTGGGAAAGGCAAGAACAGCACCTGGGGTACAGGGGTTTGCCTGGCTCCATCCCCAAAGAGTCAATGACAGAAAAGGTGTGCTGCACTCCAGGGGCAGTTCCCATGGCTACAGAGACCCTCATGGGCCCCTCCAGTCTTGGGGAGCCTGGACTGGAGTCTCCACAGCAGGGTGGCCTGGGGGTGGAGGGGCAGACCTGCAGCCAGACTGCCAGGCTGACGCCAGGCTCCGTAGCTGCGCACCTGGTGTGGCCTAGTGACCTGTGTGCTTCAGTTCCCTTACCCATCAAGCGGAGAGAAGAGGGACTCCCACGGCCGTGAGGTCACACACATCACGTGCTTAGAAAAGCACCTGGAGCACAGTGAACACTGATATGTGTTTCTAGTAGCATTTTTAGCACAATCTCCCCACTCATCCTTTAAAATGGTGGTTGAATATCCTGTCTATAAACCAGGAAATATCTCCACACCCTCCGATGCACTGAGCCACCGGGACGGAACACTTTTTGCACATAAAGTTCAGTGATCCTCGGGCTGCTGGGTTCTGGCCGCCTCGGTGTGGCTGATCATTTGCAGGTCAGCTGGGAAAGGTGTTTGTTGAGTCTGTCTGCAAACCAGGAAACTATTTTTAGAACAAGCTGAATGGAGGGCTCTTGGCCACACTTCCACCTTACCTTGGACTCCAAGTAAATGTTGGCCAAGGACATCTTAGAGATTTTGTACAGGCAGACGGAGAGCGAGACGGCACACAGCACGAAGAGGGTGTCATTGATGGCCACGCGCACGGAGACGATGGCCTTCCTCTCCCAGCGGCCCGTCTTCACCAGCACGGCGCAGGTGAGGTTCACCAACAGGAACACGAGGCTGATGAGGAGTGAGGCCAGGTAGAGGGGCAACCTGCAAGGAATGAGGGAGATGTTTATGGTGCCAGGACACGCACGCCGGCTGCACGGTCTGGGTCCATCTAGAAGAAAACAGTTGCTTTTTTTTGTGAACCGCTATAAGAGAAACCCACCAACATTAACAAACACTTCACAGGTGGGCTTAGGAGGTGGCCAGTCCAGGACTCAAATTGGAGACTAGATACAAATTGTGCGCTCAGAAAGGCATGGTGGCTCTCAGAGCCTCACTTCCTGTCGCTGGGCAGACCGAGGGTTGTCCGGGATGGGAACACTCGCTCACTGTGCACAAACACGCGTCCAGAGCCCAGAGGGCTGGCTTGGCAGCAGGGCTGGTTGCAGTGAGCTGGCCACCACCCTGCGCCCTGGGGACCTGGGCAAAGTCAGCCTGTATGAGCCTTGGTGTCAACAACCCAAAACACACTAAATAACACCTGCCCTGCACATTGTATTTGAAGACTGAGGTCATGTTTATAAAGGGTTTCAACCCAAAAATGTCACTGATGAAGTGGGAGTCGGAGGGACACTCACTTGTACCCAGGAACCCTCAAAGCACCTTGCCCAGGGTGGATACTGCCGTATTAGGAACGATAGCCCTGCACAAGCCAGGCCCTGACTATAAGTGTAGACTGGAAAGCCAGGAATGCTGGAGGCAGGCATGATCTGATGCTAACACCGAGGGTTCCTGTGGGAAATCCAGCCTAAAGAATGCATTGTATCCACTGAAGCTTGCTCTGCTTGACACAGCCCTGATAATGAAAAACCAGGTATTTAACCTCAAGGCAGGGGAGTGAATTCCTGAGCCCCTGAGCAATGCCTTAATGACCATCTGGCGTCAGTGTGTCTAACAGACCCGAACCTAAGGCTGATCTCTGCACTCCCTCTATTGTTATCTGTAAACAGTATCTGTTTTCCATTAACTGTGGCCCTCTGACACTGATTAATGAGCTATGCACCTATGCTATATACCCCTGCACAAATCTCCTCAATAAAATCCACTTGAGAGAGGAGCTCGGGGCAGTCTTCACTAAAGAGAATCGCCACCCCCTTTTCCTGACAGGCAAATCGTGTCTGGTACAGTTTATTTCTCCACCTCAGGTGGTTGGGAGGACTCTGTGGGACGGGGCCTCCCTCAGCCTGCTGTCCTGGTCACTGGCCACTGTGAACATGTAGCTTCTCAGAGCCACACACACTTCCTAAGTGACCCGTGTAAGGTCTGTGTGGCGATGTCCCCGATCTGCTAACACCGCAGTCCACGGCCTGTCCACGTCGTACTTCCTTTGGGTAGACATCGGTCAACAGATGCACAAACAAGGGACAGACTTCCTGGACTCAAAACCAGGCTGGTTTCAGCTGAATGTTCACAAGTCCAAAAGCAGAAGACCATCAGCTAGAAGTGGTTTTGAAGGCAGACAGTGACGGTATTTTCAAAGCCATCACAGACCAGGACATGAAGGCCTGGATTCGAGTCCTGCTCAGACACCATCCCACTGACAGGAGCCATGTGTTTGGAAGGTGGGGGGCAGACACAGGGAAAGGGATAGAAAGAGAGAGAGAGACAGAGAAGAGACAGAGGTGCAGCAGTTTTATTTCCTGCCACAGGTGGCAGGACCGTGTGACCAACCCCCACGCGCCCAGCTAACTAGAACACGATAGTAACGTACTGTCCACTGGCAGAGTCCCTCCTAATTTTTCAGAGCCCACATTCTATCAAAGGAATGTTGCTGGTCTTATTCCTCATCTTTCAGATTGTAGCTCAAATATCACTTCTTCCAAGAAGCCTGTACCTCTTACGGGCACACATGTGCAGACACACATGCACACACATGCACAGACACTCCATCATGTCTCTGCCTCTGCCTCCCAGGTCCCTGTGCTTTAATGTCACAGCCTAGTCCCAGCTGCCTCCAAAGCACACAGATGGTCTGACCCACACGCCCCCCCATCTAGGTTTGTGGCTCCAGGGAGAGGAAGGTGACGTTCCTTCAGCCCTGGGTCCCCCCTGTGCCGGAAGGAGCTCCATAGACATGTGTGAGCCCAGGGGGAGATGTGAACCTGAACCAGAACCACAATGCCAGACCACTTTCCTGTCCTGCAGCCACCATGAGCCTGGCCCTTCTGGGAGAAACAACCTGAACCTGAGCAGCTGCATCTTTCAAGGTGGAGCAGAGGACGGAGGCTCCTCCCTCCGCAGCCCTGCTGGGGCTGGACAGCCTGCAGGGGCAGGCGGGGTGGGAGAGAAGCTGGCACAGCTGGGCACCCACAGGTGGGTAAGCAGAGGGACCGTGGAGTGAGATGGAATGATGGGACTCCAGTCCAGAGGCGATGGCCCCAAGCTGAGAAGGGAGCGTGGCTGGTGGGACCTGGGCAGGTGAAGCCACTAAAGGAGGTCAGAGCAATGCAGGAGGGCCCAGGGGCTCCGAGCCACCACCGCCCCCCCGCCCCGCTCCAAGGGACCCCCTCCTGCAGTGGTCCCGCAGGAGTGGGGCTGGGCCAGGCTTTGCCAACTTATGGATGCTACGTCACGTGTAGTTATGCACTGAAAGCTTTTCAAGCAGCCAACAAATTTTGTTGCAAAAATAAATATGAAATAGTTACTAAAGTCAGGTTGTTTCATAGGATGTGATCACTGGTCAAGGCCCTTCTAACCCACCTCACTCTCACTGACTGTCACGGTCCCTGCTGGTCCCTGTGTGTGGAGTGCACATGCCACCCCCAGGCCCTCCCAGCCGGCCCCCTGCACTGCCCACCGCGGTCCCCATCACAGAGTGCACACCCACACAGCGCTCCATTCTGGGTGCCACCATCTCCCCGAGGAGACTGAGCTCAAGGAGGGCACCCCCGTCCCCCACTGTGTCCCCAGCACCAAAACGTCAGGCCGGGCCCAGGGCGGGGGCTCAGCACACGGCCCTCATCGTCAGGCCCTGGACACCGATTCACATTTCCCCGTTGCTAAGATCAGGATCCTTGCCACGTGGAACGCTGTCCATCCCACGCGGGAGTGTTTCCTCTCCTCCTGAAATCTCCCCCATGGCCCGATGCAGGGCGTAGGGAAGAGGGTAGGTCAGAGCCTGGGAAGCCCGAACTTCGAGTGGCACCCAGGCCCCTCACAGGGCCAAGCTTATGCTTCCTCCTGTCCAGACAGACAGAAGCCAGGGCTCTGTGCCGGCAGCCGGGAGGGCCGGGAGAGAGTGCGCAGGTTGCTGGCCCAGCGTGTGGCTCGCGGAATCACTGTGGTCAGCCTCTCTTCTCAGCCTTCTTCGCAGGTGGGGAAGTGGACAGAGAGAAGCAAAGGCCGGTCTGTGGGATCTCAGAAAATCTGCCACCTGCTTCCTTGAGAGCCCTCGCTTCCATGGTTTTGTTATTATCTGCCAGGTCTCTGTGAGGGATGAGGCACAGTCCCACCAGCTTGGAGGCCCAGCTCCTGGAGGAAGTGACCTCCGGACACTTGGCCTTTCCGGATGGCTGCCAGGGATATGGCCTGAGAGCTGCCTGAGGATTGGGGTCCTGTGTTTCTCTGTCCTCACCCCACAGAGCCCCTCCTGTTGTCAACAGCAAGTTCTAGAAAATGACTTCCTCACAGGGGTTGTTGGTCTGCTGCCGACCCCATTCTCTCAGGCCCCACGACCAACTCGCTAACTCGAAGGTGTGACCTTGGGGCCCTCTCTCCCCAGCCTCCCCGAGCACCCCTCCCACACAACCTCGGGGTGGGGAGCCCCTGCTGCCTCTTCACCTTCCTTCCCCCAAATGACAATAACGTCCTGGGCTCTCTCCTCCACACCCTCTTCCTTCAGTGACAGCTTCTGCTCGGCCATCTCGGGCCACCGCCTCTGTCCTTCATCCAGATCCGCGTTCCAACCAGCCTGCCACAGGGGCCACCTCGGTCCACGCTTCGCCCCTAATGGCCCCCCTGCCGTTCTCTGAGTAACCACCATTCCACCGTAAATCATTTCCAGCGTTAACGCTTCAGACGGCAGAGGGCTTCTTTGATCACAGGCACACATGCTCTGTCACTCAGACGTCCATGCACACACGCACCCTCATACAGTCACACTCTCACGGTCTCAAACATACACACTAACACACACTCGTGCACACAAACTTACATTCAAACACACATGCTCACACACAAACATGCTAACGCACTCCCATGCACTGTCACAGTCATACATACACACTAATACAATCGCACAAAAACACGCATTCAAACACTCTCACACACACTCACACACTCTCCCACCGTCACACACACACCTTTAGTTGTTGATCACACTGCACAGGCTCCTCACTCCCTCGCCCCGACTCCTCCGCTCTCCCGTCCTCGCCACCCCAGCCGGGCCTCGTGCCTTCTCACCAGAAGTAACGTGACAGTGTCCTAACTGTCACCCGCCCACCCCTGCGGTCCAGAGCCAGATCAGCCTGTGGACGCACAGTGAGGTTATAAAACCAGTCTCCTCACGGTCCCCAAGCCTGCCCTGGTGTTCCCACCTCCCCGTCTACACAAGCCAGTCTTCCTACCTAACACCTTCCTGCCCCGGGACACGGAGCACATCCGCCTCTCGGAGCCTGTAGGACACCTGCTAAAGGAGAGCCTGCTCTCGTCCCACAGAAGCAACCTGGAAAGAGTACTTACGGCCGGACGTTACCAGGAAAAGTGAGGAAGTGAAACTCAGAAACGGGTAGAACACCAGCTCTGTCCTGGAAACCGTACGCTGGGAGAACCTACAGAGAAGCAGGCCTCTCCGTTCCCTTAGGGTCCGAGGGGCTCACGCTGGGGGGAGGGGTCCGTAGACGCGTCTTCCTCTTTCCACCTGCGTAAATGCGCAGCTCCTTTTTCTGCTTTGTAATTTTTTCTATTTTTTCATAATGAAAATAGTATCTTATAAAATGTTACGCTTCCCCCTTAGCCTGTGGCTCCAGAAGGCAGGGCAAGATTTGGAGGGTGGAGAGATTTAAGGAGGATACGAACAGGCCATACTGCAGGGGGCTGTTTCCACAGGAACAATATTTTGTACGTTGCCTAAAATTGACTTCACTTCAATCCAAACTGCAGGGTCAGAACAAACAGCCCACGATGACAGGAAAGACCAAAGGATAAGAAAATCACTGGGGCCCAGCACCTGGGATGACTGCCTAGCTTGTGAGGCTGGAAGAATCAGCTTCTGACGGGTCAGCAGGCGCAGAGCTGAGGCGAGTCCTCGGGCCGCCCCCACGCGCCCCCACGCGCCCCCCCCTTGGGTCAGTGTGACAGCGTTTCACCACCTCCTAACGTAAGGAGATGGTATTAATGAATTCCTTCGATTTCTTTCAAAAGGGGAAAAGCAAAGCCTGGCTTGTTATTATACTTTTTATTTAAAAAAAAAATATGGAGGAAAAACAGCTGAAAATTTTTAAAATCAAAGTACTCTCACCACACCCATGCTCAGTGTTCATATTCCTTAAGACAAAGATTCAAAAACACAGACCAAGAAGGAGAAAAACCGAACCGAATGGGCAGCACCTCCCCAACACTGGAGCCAGCAGCTGTGGGAGAAAGTGGGTGGGGCCGACTGTAAATCCTCCTCAGAAACACAGAAGGGCCACGGGAGCAGCGTGGGGCGGGAGTCTCCGCCAGCCCAAGACTCAGGGCTTGTGATCCATTTAGAAGCCGATGTGTCAAAGACCCTCAGGAGACAAACCAGGGCCTGAAGTGCTGCAGTGGCACCTGCCTGAGAGAAACGGGGCGACAGAGGAGACTAGGGGCCTGCAGGCTCGCGTGGACTCCCAGGATTTCTTTACATCCGGTGACAGCAACGGCACAGTCAGATCTGAGGTAACAGCCTTCTCCCACTGAGACCCCAGCCTCCTGGCTTCCAGACGCCCACCTCAGGGCCCCCGCACCTCACTCCAACACCGGACTCCAATTTCATTTCCCCTCCACTCTGTGAGCCCCTCCCGTCAAAGCCACCACACCCCTGCGGAGCCTGTCTCTCCACCTGCCCGGCGCACTCCTCGCCTGAAAGACCCCAGCCCCCAAGGGCAAAGGTAGAAAGTGTTTAAAATCCTTCTTTCGGACCTGAGCTTCCAGTTTTCTTCTGGAAGCCCCCACACCTCATTACCCCAACCTCAACCAAGCGTTCAAAACAAGGCTGGCTCTGCGATCCAATCAGAATATTCACCCCCAACCCACCCTTCCCTCCGTCTCTGCTCCCAGCCCCCCCCCCCGCACCGAGGCACCTGCACTTGGTGGGGGGTGTGAGATTACAGGTGCAGAGGAAAGGCAACTTATCAGAGATGGGAGGACTGTCTACCTGGACCCTTTAAACTCCCGCGCTGGGACCAGCACCACCAGCCAAGCAGTGTGGGAGACACGTGAACCGAACCACCCGAAAAGCAGTGACGGGGCACGTGGAGATGGGAGAACAACAACGCGGGTCTGTCACTCTCTGAACTTCAGTTTCTTTGCATGTAAAATGGGACATAAAATATACATCTTCAGAATTTTAACTAAAAAGTCTTTATAAATTTAAGATATATTTGAGACTTGTCCGGGAAAAGTCCAGCCATTATTAATATAACGAGGACGCTTTGTACAACATTGATGTAACCTGGCGGCCAAGGAGAGTGGACTGGAACGCCCATGCGTGAACAATGACAATTTCACTGTACTAGTCAGTCAGGGCAGCAAAGATCATTGAGTCAGCATGCGCACTGTGTGGCCGTTGCATTTAAAATGGCTGAGCAAGTAGAGCAACAAATCTGCGTCAAATTTTGCATTAAGCTTGAACATTCCTCTGTGGAAACTATTTGGATGATTCAGGAGGCCACAGCTATGGGCGAGTGGTGATTGGCAGCTTCGTCATGACAACACGTGTACTCATACATCATGTCTCATGCAGAGTGTTTTGGCAAAACATCAAATTACCCAGGTGACTCAGCCCCCCTACAACTCAGATTTCGTGCCCTGCAACTTCCGGCTTTTCCCAAAACTAAAATCACCTTTGAAAGAGAGATTTCAGACTGTCAATGAGAGTCAGGACAAGACGGGACAGCTGATGGCGACGGGGAGACCTGTGCGAGGGCCACTGTGCCTACTTGGAGAGACCGTGTGTCACTGTCCTACATACAATGTTTCTTGTATATTATATCTTCTTCGATAAGTGTCTCCATTTTTCACAGTACATGGCTGGATGCCTCCTGGACAGACCTTGTATTTAAATAAAATAAAACATGTATACATTTTCGCATGTTTTTAAAGTAATAAAATAACGAAATTTTCATTTTGATTCAAGGAGGTAAGTGGCTAAAGTCGCCTTTCCTTAAATGTTTGCCCTCAGTGTGCAGGCCTCTCAGGCAGGGACATCAGTTGAGGTCCTTTGTGCTGCACTCACCTTGTGTCCCCAGACACCCGGCCTCCCTTCCCCTCTGCCCAAGTCTGACTTCTCTGGGCCCCCGGTTCTCAGCCGGGGGTCACGGAGCGCTCTGCACACTTGGGAGGAGCCGCGGCCCTCTCCATACACAGTGCTCTGCGCACACACGTGACACAGGCCTTCCCTTCTCGACCGCGGGCCCCTCCTGTTCATCCCAGCACAGGCCTCATTTCCTCCACCCCATTCCCGTGATTCCCACAGTCCCAGAGGCCACAGCTCAGACGCCCACATGCCCAACACGTCGCCGCTGGCACTTGGCCTGATCCTGCGAGTTTTCCCACCGTTTAGGACGTCTTTACTGTCAGTCTTTACCACCCGCCCCCAGGACCCGGCCTACGCCCCTGCCACGGGGTGCCCAGCTGAGTGCTTAATGGTCAAAACTGCATTTGCCGGGTCTGCCGGGGTCACAGCAGCTGTACCCAGGCCCTGCAGCTCCGGAGAACAGAGCCCACGGGCAGGTGGTGGCTGCAGGCGGGGCCCCACCAGCAGGGGAAGGGCAGAGGGCAGGCCCCACCAAAGCTGCACCATTGGAGGGTTAGGAGGAACAGGGAGGGGACAGGAGGGATGCAAGGCCCCCCGCGGAAGCCTGCGCTCCCAGTGCCTCCGACAGGCTCGGGCCGCCACGGGCTTTGGGTTCCTCCCCTGTCCCTTCCTCCCGGGTTCCGAAGGCCCCAGCTCACGTTCCTATCCCAGGTGGACTTTCTCAGGTGCTGCGAGACCCAGGAAGTCCTGCCGCCTGTCCCCTGTGGGGGCGGCTCGCATGTGAGCCTTTCACCTGCTTTCTCAGGAAAACACCCCAGTACTTACCGGTATTTGAGTAATTCTGGAGAATATTTTGACTTGGCTTTGAAAATCACCTGCAATGACAGAAACACAGAGCGGGTTGGGGAGGCAGCAGGCTGACCCCAAGGCACTGACCTCACTCTCAGAACTTCCCTCCCGCTCTGCCCATGGGCTGGATGAGGAAGTTACTAAGCTAAATGCTTTTTAGGCTGTGCATACAATTTTAAAATAAAGGTAGTTAAATGGTTAAAATGTTAAAAAAATAAAAGTAAAGGTGTCACTGGTCTTCTCTGACTTTAAGGTTTGTATGTGAGCCCATTCTTCTCCTGGAGATAAACCCCATACCCTCCCACGCTATTCGGGGTTCCCTAGCACCATATGAATGCAGTTTGACCATGAGGGTCCAGCTCCCCAGCTTTGCAGCACATGGCAACTGCCTGTGGACCACAGATGTGTCAAACTGGACGTTGTCTGCAGGAGAAATGGTGGGTGTTGGAAGTCTTCCAGATCTTCAGCAGCTTGCACAACCCTGACCGTGCCCACAGGCACAGCGCCCACCTGGCGGAGCCTTGAGACGGTGGAGAGGGGACCAAAGGCAGGTGTTGGCTCTGGCCCCAGCCAACGGGGCTGGTCTGCCCAGCGGTCGCGGGGTGGGGGGCCGACTGAGGGTTGGGGGCGAGGCCGGGGTGGAGCGGCAGGGCATATGCTCAGGCATTTGCCACCCTGGGTCCTGTAGGAGGGGCCACTGCGGGGAGGAGAGAGAGGTTTGGAAGGACAGAGAAGGGGACACTTTCTCAGAGAAAGTCTGGTGAGAATCTTCTAGCAAAGCCTTCTGTGTGGAGCTCCTAAACATGTCCTCAGCTGGTCCTTGACCCCACACAGACCCCCAGCCATGGGCCCTCCGCTCCGCTCAGCTGCCTTAAAACTTTTCAGGATCCACTCAGCCTGCAAATACCGAAGGGGAGAAAGATGCTGCCTGGGATGCAATTACCCGAGTTGTAGGGAGTGAAGGACAATGAAAAACAGGGCAGGGAGCAGAAGCCTGGCTCTGGTGGGAGCAGTGGAGGGGACAGCCACTGTGGGACCCTGGGGTACACGGGGTCAGATGTTGTTGCCCCTTTGTCTGAGGAGGAAGCTGTGAGAAATCAGCTTCCTCCAGGGACACTGGAGAGTAACCCCAGAAATCACCCAGTGGATCCCCAGTGACCAGCCAGCTCTGCTGGTGCAGGGGTCACGAGGGGTAGGGACCCTCCGCCTGACTCCACAGGCCAGTTCCCAGAACACACTGTACGAGACGACACCAAAGGAGGCAGGATGGGGCTGAAGACGGAGGAAGAGCTCGAGGCGCCTGGGCAGCCCCACCTGCACACAGCCATGCGCCCTCACTTCCGGTCGGTGTGCCCAGCGGGGACCCTGACCCGCAGAATCACTGCCTGGGGTGGGGGGACCACAGCTTCCTACAGACTTCACAATGAGCAAATCTACTGCCCCCTTCAAAAAAATCATTTTCAGAGCTTCCCAGGGGAGCATCCCAAACTCAGACATGAGTTTTACCTCTGTCCTAAATCCTTTTGTGAAGCAGGTAGGAGGCAGGGGTGCCTCTGTGACTAAGTGAAAATGCCTAGAAACACAAATGCGTGGCACGAGTACGGGGCCCTTAATTTACGGGAGTCGTGAGTCAGCTTTGTCTGACAGCCTCCCTTGGGGCTCGGGCCACTCACGTCACCTTCCACGTCTCTCAGGAACGAGGAGCAGAGAACCGTGACTCTCCTAAGGTGCTGTTACAAATCTAACGCCGCTTTGTGCACCTCAGAACAAGTGCTCAGAAATGTGCTCTCGTGTTGATCAGTGCTCAGGGCTATCGCTTTGAATAACAAGGAGATGTCTTCACAGACGTCAAAGTGAGAAGAAGCTACAGTATTTTAAAAAGTGTTTGACCATGTCAAGGAAATATCCTGCCATGCTTAGGGGGACTCACTTAGACAGGTCACTTCCCTGCGAGTCACCGTTTACTCTCATGCCACAGCCTATCCCAGCAGCCCTGCCACCACCCACGGCATCCTCCGCCACGGACTCAGCTCTGTGCAAAGTGCTGTCAGGAACCAAAGAAAACTAGGACCCAGCCTGCCTTCCATGGGCTCACAGTCGCAGCAGAGGGGCAAGACGTGGACAGAGGACGCGACAACAGATGCCAACCAGGAGGCTCCAGCCTCGGCACGAGGGAGCTCACGGAGCTGACCTGTAGGTTGCAGGCTCAGCCTGGTGGTGGTGACGTCAGCCCTTCTGGGCCACACGCTGCCCCAGCTGGCACAGGCAGCCCCTGGTCACCGGAGGTCAGCGTGAGAGGGAGTGTGGGTGGATCGGGGTCAACTCAAGGCTACTCGGCCCCAGCTCACTCCCACCAGTTGGCCAGGCTGGGTCTTTGGGACCTGGGACCCGCAGAATGACGTACCCAGGCAGCCAGGAGCTGCGAACGGAGGTGACACTCCCAACTGGAAGTGCAGCCCCTGCCACACCGTCCTCCTTCGTAAACAAAACAAGACGCTGCTTGACTTCCCACCGCCCCAGCCCCTGCAGCTCCATCCGCTGATTAGGTAGTGGGTCAAAGACGAACAAAGTCAGGTGCCGTGGGGTGAGCTCTGCGGGCAGCCCGCACCCCAGAACACCCTCCCAGAACACAGCGAAGGGCGGCGGTTCCAGCCAGGACCATCCAATACTCAGTCCAGCACTCCAGCCCTGTAAGCAATCAGACACTTTGCCTCCACAAGTCCACTTGTAAGAGATTATTGGGAAGCAGGGCTTCCCACAGTGTGCCCACAAGCTGGGAATTTTAAATGTTACTGGAGATAAGTGTCGCGATCAAGCCCATGGATAGCTGTGTGGCTAAACAGCTTTTCTTCCTGGCAGTGATTCCCAGAGCCTCTGAAAGGCTCATACATTGTAAACCTTCAAGCGAAACACAGGGCTGCAGCAGTTTCCAAACTGATCAGGCCACTTCAGGTCTTCCCAGTAGCGAATGTTCCAGGGAACAGAGATTGGGAAACACTGCCTTGTGGCACTAAGCACAGATGGAAGGCTCCCTGCAGCCTTAACAGTAGTGACAATGACAAAAAGAATAAAATAACCACAACAAATGAGAAGCAACAACTTTAAAATGATGCTGGATGTTTAGCCCAGTGAATGTGAGCTCTGATCAAGCATGAGGGATCTACGGGGTCAGGGACCCCGAAAAGGACCCAGAGCCCCATCCCATAGAATGACTTGTGCAATAAAAGATGAGGAACCCCGCAAAACTCAAATTCAAACCACCATTACATCCCTGCCCGCCCAGAGGAGGACAGTCATCCCTGGTAAAGGAACAATCTGAGTCAATAATCGTTCAATCCTCTCTAAGCAAAAAGCAAAGGAGACAACCTGAAAACAAGAGCCTGGGCCATGACTTATAAAAGTTCTATCCACTCTTGGTCATTTCTGACAATTACATGTTTTGAATCCACCTGGGCCTGTTCAAGCTGTGCTTGGAAACACTTCCTTTATCCTTCAACCTAATCTTTAAATTTAAAGTTAAGCTCCTCAAAATTGTATTTAAGTTTCTGGCATATAAAACTGGTATATACCCATATACATATATATGTACACATATAGTAATTACAGTATAATTTTTGTCCTCACTAATTACAGTGCAAAAACGTCTGAACCAAGTGTTAAAAAAAATCCAAACTTGCCTGCCCACCCCACCCCACCCCTATCTGTGCTCCAAGAGACTTCGCTAAGACCGATGAGCACCCAGAACTGCAGCCAAACCCCCTGGGCCAAGGCCTGAGACCGCTCATCGGTCGCCCACCTCCTCCAGTCTGCGGGGGCTCCCGCGGACCCTGAAGGGGCTCGGCTGGAAGGAGAACGGCCCCTGCCTCGGGCTCACCATGCTGCCCCCGGCACGGGCTGTGCCTGCAGGTGCAAAGCCAGGCCCACAGGCTCGGAGCGGAGGGAGACGGGGCCCTGTGAGGGGCGCCCAGGCAGCACGGCCGCCAGGTGGAAATGCAGATGCTCCACATTCAGACTGGTGGTGTTCACGATGGTTCAGCTGGGAGTGAGCGCTACATCTGGATTCCAGAATTGTGAACATAAGGAAGAGCGGGTCCCTGCCCCCGAGAAACTCACAGCCGGACACAGGCCTGCCAGCCGTCAGCAGAGAGGAGCTGTGATGCGGTGTGAGGTGTGAGGAGGTGTGAAGTGTGTAGAGGTATGAAGAGGTAACGGGAAGTGTGAGGACTGCGGGGAGGTGTGAGGAGAGTGAGGAGCGTGAGGAGGTGTGAGGGGATATGGACAGGTGTCAGGGGGTGTGTGGAGGTGAGAAGAGATGTGAGGTGTAGAGAGGTGTCAGGTGGTGACAGAAGGTGTGAGGTGGTGGGAGGGGTGAGGGGTGATGGGAGGTGTGAGGAGATGTGGGTAGGTGTGAGGGGATGTGTGGAGGTGAGAGGAGATGAGAGGTGTGGAAAGGTGTGAGGTGCTGACAGGAGGTGTGAGGAGCTGAGGTGTGAAGAGTGTGAGGAGTGTGAGGAGGCACGTGGAGGTGTGAGGAGCTGAGGTGTGAAGAGTGTGAGGAGTGTGAGGAGGCACGTGGAGGTGTGAGGAGCTGAGGTGTGAAGAGTGTGAGGAGGCACGCGGAGGTGTGAGGAGCTGAGGTGTGAAGAGTGTGAGGAGTGTGAGGAGGCACGTGGAGGTGTGAGGAGCTGAGGTGTGAAGAGTGTGAGGAGTGTGAGGAGGCACGTGGAGGTGTGAGGAGCTGAGGTGTGAAGAGTGTGAGGAGTGTGAGGAGGCGTGTGGAGGTGTGAGGAGGTGAGGGGTGATATGAGGCTGTGCTGGGAGGAGTGAGCGGGAGAGGGAAGTGTGGGGTGGGGTTAGGTCGCCTGCTGAGGTGAGTGGAGGAGGGGAGAGCAGGCGGCAGCGGGAAGCCCAGAGCCAGGGCAGGCAGTGCCTGCGGCGGGAAGGCTGGGACGCGGGGTGGGCTGGAGGCACCGCCTGCAGCCAGTGAGGACGCGCACCTCCTGGGTTAGGGAGCTTCAGGAGCCAG